AAAGAAAAGCCAACAAAAGTCGACCGTTCTCGAAGTGTTTCGAAAAAGATGGTCGCGACATTTGTGTCAAAAGCGGGTCATATTGCAACAATTCCTCTTAATGAGCAAAGAACTGTTACTACGTATTGGTATATCACTATTTGTTTGCCAAAAGTCATCATCGATCTTCGAAAAATCAACCCCGAAAGAAGAATCATCCTCCACCAAGACAATGCAATCTCGCATACAGCCCAATAACAAGGCAGTATTTAACGGAAGAAAACCTGGAATTATTGGACCATCCGCCATATAGTCCCGATCTAAGTTCTAACGATTTCTTTACTTTCCCGAAAATTAAAAACAGGCTGAGTGGTCAAAGGTTCCAGTCTCCAGAAGAAGCAGTTGTCGCATTCAAAAATGCCGTTTAGGGTCTGCCAGCAAATGAGTGGAATAAGTGCCTCGAACATTGGTTCTAGCGCATGCAGATGTGTATTAATCTTCGTGGAGAATACTTCGAAAAACAATAAAGTCATTTAAAACTACCTACCGTGTTGCTTTATTTCCATATGCAAAACTTAAAAAACATCCCTCGTACTACCTTATACCTCTCTTATGGACTGTAAAAGCCATAATGGAGCTCCATGATCTCGTTCGGTCTCAAGATTCTTTCCTTTCTCCACCCAGAGGATCCAGCATTTTAGCAAAATGCTTGAAAGGTCACCTGAAAATTTGGAAAAAACTGTGTTTATAAAATAACAATGCAAATATTGATGCAAAAAGAACGAAAATAACACATAACATAAATTTACCCGGGAAATTCACACTATACGTACCAATTTAGGATTTATTTTGCAATAAGTTTGGAATTCAAATTCAAAATATGACGTAACTGCTTTGTTTCAGTGAATAAACTATATGTGTTAATAATAGAACCTCATTTAGACATATATTTTATTATCATTCTAATGTCGCATTCTAACCTTAGAACCAATGTGAATCCTGCAGTCTTTATTGCATAATATGTAGTTTATCAAAGATAACCTCCTGTTTAGCAACGCCTATAATTCATCTTTAGCAGAAAGCCACGTGCGCCTGAGCCTAGACGCCTTATAAGCAAAACCTAGATTATTTATCTGTAAACATATATATATATAAAAAAACATCTATCAGCCAAACAAAAATATTATTTAAGTAATACTTTAATTTCATCACTTTTTGACTATGGAGATGTCGACTATGGTGATTCGTTATCGTCGCCAACAAAAAAATGCATATAAAAAGCTCAAAATAGTTGCATGAGATTTGCTTTTGGCATTCCATACCGAAACCATATCACTCCTTATCTGAATAACTACAACATATTAAACATGACGAATCGCAGAAGACATCATATGTATTCTTTTATCTATAGGGTTATAAAAACAGGTCAATAGAGTCAAGAGAAAGATTTGTGCAGAAATAATCTCAATTTTATCGTACCTAGGCATAGAAAGCGTTCTATCCGACGATCGTTTGCTTATTTGGCGGTTCACTTGTGGAATAATTTACGAATTTCAGTTAAAAGCTCATCGCCAAAAATATTCTCGAAACTCGCATACATTTTTACAGAATCAGCAGCTACTTTAGCAGCATTTGTATTAACAAAAATACAGTTTTTATATCTCTACTCGCTGAGAAGTTGTATAGATTTGGTTCCGGGGGTTCTTTCTTTGTCTTTGCCTTTTTGTGTCTCATCGCCTATTCATTTGCATCTTTATTTTTTTTATGTTTCTTTAATCTACATAATGTAACGTACAATTAGAAATTAAACGGGAGTGTATAAATTTACTGAAATGTGTATAGATATTTATTCATAGTAATAGTTGATAATACGAATATATACCTATATTATAACTACATTATACTTTTTTAAGTTTTTATTTAGTTAGATGGGATTAAGGGTTTTTAGGGTTGCCAGGGCTTTCTCGCATGGACTCTTTGCATTAAAGGGATCCCTGTATCGGTTTCATGATCGAGAGACTATCCATTTTCGACATTGTTCAATATTGTAGAATTTCCTTTGTAATATTTATTCGTGAAGAAATAAATATTTTAAATTGAAATTTGAGTTTTGAATATTACATTGTTTAATACTCGACTTGGTTTGTATTGTATAAGTCCTATACCCGTTTATTCACTTGTAACTAGGTTCGTAATCAAGTAACGGAGCTCTTCACGAAGTTCCCCAATGAAGTTTTGTAAAAAGTTATTTGCAGCTTCAATGATATAATTTACATATTACAAACTCGTTTTATTATCTGCTGACGTCCCTTGCCATATTCTCCCTAGGGAGACTACAATAGATTTATATTATTCAACGAATTTATTCAAAAAAATTTATATGTGACTATTGTCTATGAGTCGTGGTAGCATCAAGATTCTGTCATTCAGTTTATATTGCATGTAATGAAGATAAGTTGTATCGAAACATCCTCCTTTTTTCATGTCAAAAAAAAATGGTACAATATTTGAAACATACACAGCAACGAAGCTATGTATTTGATCGGTTAGTTCCTTGTTGCAATCACATTCATGCATATTTTTTTTAAATCCCAGTATACATCTCAGTATATATTATTTGTGCGTTTCTCAAGGCTCACGTATACGTAAAAGCATGTTTTATATATAGTTTAAGGAAATACAGTTACATTATTTTTATGTACAGAATATTTTCTACATTTTACGAAATCAAAAATTCAACGAATTTAGAAATTTTGGATGGTGGCAATTTTTTCATCATACCAATGAAATTAAATAGTTACGTTAGTTACATGTGTAGCAAGCGGTTGATGAAGGTTAATTAATTAATTAGTATACCACAATAATTGTAGAAATTCGTATTATGTAACAGTTGAATAGTTCGTCTATAAATAAATTTTACCAAATCAGACAATTTGGCATTTGATTAACCAGATGTAACCTTTCCACCACCATAACTAATAATTATTAAAGCGTTTACTAGCACGAACAGGTAAAAATTTGAGTTGTCTAAAGAAGCTTCAGGAATAATAATGTATACTCGTAATGCTGCTATCTAAAGGTAATGTGGAATGCCACGTTCATCTCAGTCAATTCCAAAGAGACATTCCAGTATATACAGTATATTAACACGAGCATTACACAGAGCATGATACATCCCAAACATCATAGTAGCGAGATTATAGGATATTATTTAAGCACAGATTTGATAACTTTGGTAACTAGAAAATGTTAAGCATTGATTGTTAAACAAAGATCGTTTAAAAAAAACTCTCCATACTGAGGGTTTCTTTCTTCAATTGGTATTAAAACTACACTCTTCAATAATATGTAACACTCGATACTTTATTCAAAAAAATAAACCTTCCGATTATTTGTGAAAAACAATTTTAGTTAAATGGCTGCTGCGGCTGGCCTGGCAGTAGTCCATCCTCTTAACCCAATTTTGAAGCACATTTTCGAAAGTTTGTGGGTCATTTCAATAGCTCGACGGATATTTTCCTTAAGAACATCAGTTGGTTGAGGATCGTTAGTGTAACAGCGGTCCTTAACAGTACCCCATAGGAAGTAATCCATGGGCGTCAAATCACAGCTGCGGGCTGGCCAATGAACGTCTCCAAAACGGCTGATATCGCGATGACCGAACTTAGTGTGTAATAGTTGGATTGTTTCACGGCTGGTGTGGCATGTTGCGCCATCCTGCTGGAGCCAGAGATTGTACAAGTGCATGTCGTCTAATAGTGGCCACAAAAAACTCCTCAACATGTCTCTATAGCGTTTCCCGTTTACCGTCAGGCTGTTACCATCTTCATCTTGTAAAAAGCAGGGACCAATAATCCCACCACTCCAAAGGCCGCACCAAACACTATTTTTTGATGCATTGGTTTTTCTATGACGACATGTGGATTTTCAGAACCCTAAATCCTACAGGTCTGTTAACGGGCTCCTCTCAGTGGCTTTTTGATTCGATTGAACAAGAAGAAGTCACAGGGGGCCACAGCAGGTGAATTGAGTGGTTTTAGAATGGTATTCCTGTTGCTTTTGGCCAAAACCTCATGGATAATTATCGCATTCTGCGATGGTGCGTTACGTGGTGCAAGATCCACGAGTTGCTTGACCACAAATACTTGCGTTTTTGACGGACTGATTCACTCAAATGTCTCTAAACACCCAAATAGTACTCTTTGTTGGCAGTCTGACCTTCTGTCTTGACTGCATGTCGGACTCATAAGCCTACGTCTCCACTCCAGTAATGATAATGTTGGGCCAGAATCAACCATGGTAATCATGTCTTTCGCGATATCAACACGGTCATTTTTTGCATGAAATTCAAGTCTTTTGGCACCAACTTCTCAACACGACGGATACCCAAATCATTGACCAAAGTGCTTTGAATGGATCCATAAGTAAGCTCAAATCCTCTGCCATCTCTATGCTAGTTAATTTGCTGTTGGTGGCCAACATATTCTTCACTTTGTCAACGTTTTCTTCTGTTAACCATGTAGATGGCGTGCCGCTGGGCTCACCATCGGCGATGGACTAACGACCTTCTGTGACCAGTCGAAAACGGCTGTTTTCTTCAAAGCATCGTTACCGCAGAATTTTCCTAGGTTTGCGTACCATTCATATTGTTTTTAACACAAAACTTAAAAGTCCTAATAAATCGTGAATACGCTCAAAGGCACATGTACTCAACTCTACGTAGCTTTGACAACTGATAATGAAATGACGCCGAAATTCGGAGGGAATATCAGTGAAAGTTGGGCACCATAACAACATTCCGGGTACTTTTTGATCAAGGTGGTATTTCTCTATCTGTCCCATGATGTTTCTCTTTTTGTCCACCGAGTGCGCGATGGTCGATTTAGTTACCCCCATTATGCACTTCACTCTTGGCGTATATTTCATTAAACAAACGACATTTTACTTCACATTATTGTCCTGAGTTTAATCACAATTATTTCTTGGTGCATCCATGACGGATGATCCTGTATACTTCCTTCGAAATGTTGGTACTTGATACCATTTTAAAATGACGTGTTTTTACAAATTATCTTTTGTTTCAGGTGTAACGTTAGGTCAAAGGAAATATAGTAGAAATGTAGAAACAACGGTGGTGAAAACAGGTGTGAATTTCGACTGCCCAGAAGAATTTGGATACTACCCCCACCCGAATGACTGCACACAGTATTATGTATGCGTTTTTGGAGGAGCATTACTTGAATCCTGCACAGGAGGACTCATGTACAGGTATGAATATAGAAAAAATACATTTTCCTATCCCTTAAAAAGATGATACAAAAAACAGGATACCGAAAATAAAGACTAGAAGAAATGAAAACAAAAAAGAAACGTAAAACGCTGTATGCAAAAGTAAACACATTAGGTAGTACTTGTAGGTTTATTTAAATTGGAGTGAATAAAAGCAACAAATACTTGCGAGTACTTAATGATATTCAAATGCGATCGAGGCATTGCTTACAACTCAAACATGATATGGACACACAACAATATAGGCTTTTCAAAGTTTCTGGACTACGGAAGTGGACTAATTTCCAAAGATTCTGAATCTAGGAATCACTATACTTTTTCTCTAGTGCCAACAGTGCTTTTATTTTTTGAACAGGTCATGTTAGCAAGCTGAAATTCTGGATGCTTGAACGGATAAATGAATACAACAGCTTAACGCAGTAGCTGACAACTTGGAAAAGTTTTTAAACAGTATTAGGGGCTATTTTGAAGCTTTCTCATGAGTACTTTATCGCCCTGAAATCTAAAAGACTAAACAATGTAAATCAAAGTAGGTAAACAAACTTTTGTTTCCAAACGATATTATTGTGTGTTTGTTAAAATTGAAGCCAAAACTTGTAGGGCATACGTTATGACTCCTATTCCATTTAAAAAAATGCTTTAGGTTGGCGCTCAGTCGCCATCTTAAAATTTGACACTGAAAGTATGCGGGGCCTTATTGAAAATCACTGCAAAATTCTACATGCCTATCTCGTAACAGAACCTCATGGTTAATGTTTTGACAGCCCTCATCGTTAAATGTGGCCCAGTACTATGGTTGTTTTTAGAAGATGTATTTCTAAGTCTCCACATCATTTGATGAATGTCAGTTGGCGCCATGCCCTTTTCTACAGGATGTCCGCAAAGTTGGGGTTTTCCTTTTTAGACACAAATACGCTTGATATAACAAAGCTAATGTGTGGTGAAACGTGAGCGAACAAGTAAAAAAATAAATGAAAAAGTACTCACTGTTCAGTTGAATTGAATTTCCAACTACGGCTCTGTCGTATATCTGTACGCTGTTGCTGGCGCTGTGGGCGTGATCAAGGGTTAGGACAGGACCGGCTTCGGTTTGGTTCAGGTTTGAATGAGTTTGCGGAGCTCAATATCCCGGTTCTCCTAAGACATTGGTGTATATGCTACTAAGAAAATCCGCTCATTTTCTCCAGATCGGCTCGTCGTGTAAAGAAAAACCCCAACTTCGCGAACACCCTGTATAGACATTTTATTACATATTTTGCTCAAAATCTATTTGTATTAGAATCTTTGTCACACATGAACCAAAAAGTAAATGAAGTCAAAACAGTTTAACATACTCAATATTTTGCTGAAAATATATCTAAATCAATTGTTCTACTGTTAACAACATTCATGAAACCACAATCTGTCATGGGGTCAGGGGCGGAGCCCCAACTCTTGAAGACAGGTAAACTAGTTCCCGTTTAAAAAAAGGCGACATCCAAGACGAACACAATTATAGACCAGTAGTAATGCCACATGGAGTCTCTAAAATATTTGAATACTCAGTTTTAGACAGATTTTAGGGATATACTGAAAAAAGACATCGTTTTCTATAACCAACACGGTTTTTAGATCTACGCTCTTTCTATAAGCAACTGATTAATTATATTGAAAATGGAGGATGTCCAGTGGGTATCTTCTGTGAGGCATTCGTTTTTGATGGACAACTTGGCTAGATATGGCATTAGGGACAATGCTTTGGGATCGACAGTATTTTTTTCCATAAATGCCATCCTCAGATAGTAAGGGCATAAACATCGGTGTCACCCAAGGATCAGTATTGGGCCCCTTTCTTCTCGTAATATACAGGGTGACTTTGAAGTTGAGTCATTAATTTTCAGATAATGATTGTAGAAGGAAGATAAACCAAAATATGTGTGTAAAAATAAAAAAAAAATTAAAAAAAAAATTTTACCTTGTTTTATAAAGTATCCTCCCGACAAGTATTTCAGTGCGGACCTGTATTTGATCGTGAGGTCCCCTGTGAGGTCTTAAGTCACCTGATTCACGAGCCCGTTGTACTACATTAACAAAGGCACGAGGGGTTGGTTGCACTCGATTGGGAAACCGATCCGCATAAACATGTGCCATTTTTTATTTCGTTTGAGCCACGCAACAGACACTATTCACACGCGACTGAAACTGACTGTATGTATAACTGAACTGAATTGTAATCGTAAAAACATCGTTCCAAATTCTTTCGCTTTTTTGTTTCCGATGCGATGAACCGTTGTTGCCAAACACGAACACATGATATTATTGAGACAGGGCGGTACTCAAACTTCCAAAGGGCTATAACTTTGTTACTTTAATTTTACCAGAAAAATGGTAAAGGAAAAAAACATTTCTTTTGATCAGATCTACACACTGTTAAAATAAATGACTCAACTTCGAAGTCACCCTGTATATTAACGGCTTGGACAATCTGTCAGTGCCAGCCGCATGCATGCTATCAAATTTTATACCTAGGTTGCATTTAGATCCGTGTTTGAGTTGGAGATTTCATTGCGAATCGTTAAACACTAACCTACACTCAGTAGCATTTTTGATGAACAATTCAAGATCAGTGGGTGATCAATTGCTGTTGCTCTACCATGTCGATGTTAGTAGCAGACTTCTTTATTATGGTGTTTATAGAATATCAGCATAGAATCATAAGATGTCTTGTAAATAAGCCTTTAAAAATTGTAACCCTTCCCAGCCTATTCATTTTAGAAATGTATGCGTATGTTTTTAAACATAGTAAGCTGGTTAGTGATGCCCATTGTTTATGTACACGACAAATTATTTATAAGCACCATACCTGATTGTCTAGGTATAAGGCTTTACCTCAAACTATCAAGTCAATTGTTAAATTTAATTTATTTGTGAAAATTTTTTAGTTGATGAATTCTTTCTATTCTTATCATGTGTATGTTCCATTCCTACTTTTTCATATTATTGCTTTTAATGTGTACATTCTATTTTTACTTTCCTACAAGTGTAATGAATTCATTTTTCCATCCTTGACCAGCCCAATACGATTTGCTACAAATTGTCTCTCGGTGAATAGTTATTATTATTAACCCTTGTATTACTCCATCACATGATGAAAGAGTTTCACCCCGACTCATTTTATTTTTCAGCCATGAACTCCAAACCTGTGACTGGCCCCGCAACGTGGGCTGCGAAGGTGTGGAACTAGGGGCTGCGTCCTCATCGGCTTCCGCGTCATCCTCGTCATCAGCTGCCCCTAGTGCTCCATCTAGAGGGAGGGAGAGGGACAGGGAACGAGATAGGGATGGCGTAAGGGAAAGGGAGAGTCAAAGGGAAAACAACAGGGATGACAGGAGGAGGTTTACACCACCACCACCTCCTCAACCGCAAGCCGTTGTCACCTCTAGGGGGCAGCCCAGACAGCTTCACCATTCGCAACAAGAAATTATCAAGGTAAATATTCTTTTCTTTAGCCGAAATTGACAGCCCAAAAATATGAATCAATAAACATCGATTAAGTCGGTATCTCTGTTTCTCACTTCCTATAGACGCTGAAAATGATGCCTACAGGGCTTCACTACGAAAATACAGGCGCCTAAAGGACTCTACTGGATATCAATTTTTTTAAAATTACTTTTGAAAGTCAACAATTTTAAGAAATTTTGGGACTAGTTCACGCGCCACATCAAGGTGTCTACAGGGTGGACCATCCATGTGTGGACGGAACATTACTCATAAACAAATACATTTTGTGAAAGTCTATTTATGGGATGATAGAAATGACATTTGAGGGCACATTTCTAAAATACTGGCCATCATACAAGGTGTCCCAATTTCGACCTACATATCAAAGTTATGACATTTCAAATAGAATGCCTCAAAGTTTGTTGCATATCTGGATAAACCAATAAAAAAGAAGAAGATTCATGTAACATACTATGTGGTTTTGGTAATTAGCTACTGAGATGTAAGGTGTTTTGTCCAGAAAAACCGTCCACTTCGGCAACCCCTCAATCCGCCATGTTCATGAGTAATATTCCGTCCACACATGGACGGGCCACCCTGTATATTAAATCATTCTTCGGCCTGATATTTAAGCTAAAAAAATGAAGTTATATTTGACGCCGATAAAATGAGCCACTATAATAATAAAAATTTGTTGGTGTTACTACACATATCCAGGGTGGCGCATCGAAAACGAAACAGGCGTATTTACTGGCAGCTCAGTTTTTTTTTGGAAAAACGCTCAGACCCGTCGATTTTGTTTTCGAGGGGGACACAAGTTTAGCAAAAAATCACGATAACAAGTGCAGCCCCCTGGGCGGGGGTGACACCAACCCTAAAATCTTAAATGGAAAGGGGGGTCGAGTGATATCTTACTTTAAAGGTCTTTCAATTCCCTTTATAATGATGTAAAATACATGAGCTTCAGTTCAGTAGTTTTGAAGATTTATTGATTTAAAGCTTAAAGTAGACTTTAATAGGTATCAGATTGATTTGTACTACTTACAGAAGAAATTTGACTAAAAGAATTTACTTAATAAGTAAATGCTTTTCTTCACTAGGCCCATGGTTTGTTTATCATTTTTTTGTTGAAAATAGCTATTGGGGCGTTCTTTTGTGGCAAAAATTTATTTCTTGAAGAAAGATAAGGAAATATCTCGTACCTATTTTAAATAGGAATTTATTATTATATTATTGATTTGATCAAACTTTGTTTCTAAAATAACTTGTAACGCTTTATTACTTAAATTAACCTTGGTATATTCCACAGCAGAAAGAGTTGAAATTATCGAATTATTTTTCGGAAATAATCAGTGCGCTAATAGAACAGCAGAAATATTTAATGAGCGACATGAGAACAGTAACGTGCATCGAAAATATGTTCTAGAACTTGTAGCTAAATTTCGGGAAACTGGGCCAGTCGCCAATAAAAAACGCAACATTGAAAATCCCATAAGGAATGAAGCAATAGAAGTGGTGGTTTTCTGGAAAGTTTATGTAGTTAAGTACCCGCAAATTGGAGACTGTGTGTGGTGTTAGTCGACGTACTGTCCAACGGATTCTAAAGGACCATACTTTTCATCCGTATAAAATTCACCTGGTACAAGAACGTAATGAAGACGATTTTGATCGGCGATTACAATTTTGTGAAGATATGAGTGAACGAATTATAAACGATGAACATTTTCTATTCAACACTTGCTTTTCCGACGAATGTTCCTTTTTCTTAAATCGCGTAGTAAATCGTCATAACTGCCGATATTGGTCCGATTCTAATCCCAGAATTTATCATGAGGTTCATACACAGCAGCCACAAAAATTAAATGTTTGGGCTTGTATTTTTGGCGATCATTTAGTTGGTCCTTTTTTATTGCCTGAAAATTTGACCGGTGAAATGTATTTGGAATTACTGGAAGACGCCATAGATCCTGCATTAACAGCCATAATTGAAAATCAGAACGATCGGCGGTACATTGCGAATAGGTTGATGTTCCAATAGGATGGTGCCCCACCACATTACGCATTATGTGTTTGACAATATTTAGATCAGACGTTTCCAGATCGATGGATTGGTAGAAGAGGTGCCATTGAATGGCCCCCAAGATCGCCAGATTTATCACCTTTGGATTTCATTATGTGTGGTCATTTAAAAAGCAAAATCTGTGCTACTCAGCCAACATCATTAGAAGACCTGCGCCACAGCATTTTGAATAAGTACCTTCAAATTACTCCTCAAATATTGCAAAATGTGCGGCAACGTTTTGAGCAAAATCTTTATTATTGCATGGAGAGTCATGGTGGCCATTTTCAACATTTACTTGCCTAACGGGTCAGTTCATTATTCATTTTTAAATTACTTTGCTGCCAAATGTATTGATCTCCGCTAATGATGATGTATTAGTTTTATTTGAGCTATAAATCAATAAACCTTCAAAACTACTGAACTGCAGTACATTAATTTTATATCATTATAAAGGGAATTGAAAGACCTTTAAAATAAGGTATCACTCGACCCCCCTTTCCATTTAAGATTTTGGGGGTGGTGTCACAACCGCTTAGGGGGCTGCACGTTCTAACGTGATTTTTTGCCAAACTTGTGTCCCCCTCGAAAACAAAATCGACGGGTCTGAGCGTTTTTCAAAAAAAAACTGAGCTGCCAGTAAATGCCTCTGTTTTGTTTTCGATGCGCCACTCTGTATGTCAAAAAAGCACATGCTAAAAAAAACATGTATGCCTTGGGGGCATATAGAAAACAATTAAAGTTGAAGACTAATAAACATATACAGACTTACTGACAAAGCGCAAAAGCCAAACACAGTAAAATAACTAAGACACAGCCGCAGATGCGGGAGAGTATAATAAATATGAACACACCAGCGGAAAAATGAGTTAGAGTAAAATAAATATGATCATTTACACATTCAGAAACGCGGGTCGGACTAAGATAAAAAATAAAAAATGATTTGAACATTTACAAAAGCATATTATAAAGTTATTTGCCAAATACTCATCAATGCAGAAGAGTGCTTTTTTGTTTGACAGTCTTTGATTTCTTGTGGAAGGCATCAATACTCAGCGATTTGACAGGATTTGATAACACACAATTTATTCTGTGCCCTATTTTCAAACGAAATTAGTTCTTTAACAAAAGTTTAACAATGGTATTGGTATTAATAGACTCAATAAAAATATATAAAACACTTTTTCTGGCAATTATTTTGCAAGTTCTAAAAACTACAACTTCCGTTTTCCTTTCCAGCAACAACAGCAACAGCAGTTATATGAAGACGCGGAGGAAGTTTTGCCACCAGCAGAAGAGGTGGAGAACGATCGACAACAGAGAGTGTATCGGGGACAACCTTCGACAGTAGGCCAAGTACAAAGAGACAGAGATGGTCTCAGGAATGCTAATGTTATTCCTGTAAGTCTGCTTTTGCCATTACACATAGGCGCCACAAAGAATTTTCTGTATCTACCACCCCTAGCACATAATTACATTTTTCAAGAAACTAGCCTATTAAAAATCTGTATGCAAGAATTATTTCATATCGCATTTGATATGTTTACTTTCCACGCCACTGGTGTGGAAGTACTGTAATCGCGAAAATCTGGAGAATGAGATTTGTTTTTGGGACGCCCGCTAATCCTTAGCCCGTCTATTACCGCTCAGATGTTGATGAAATTTTTACATAAAGTTACTACTATGTCAAAGACGAAAACACTTGATAGTAGTAGTATGCATTCATTTACTGCATTATACAGGGTGTTTCAGAACTATGGGATCAAACTTGTAGGGGTTATTCAGTGTAACAGTTTCACTACTCGCGCTTAACCTTATTTTTTGAAGTCAGTGAATTTAAAATTGGTATTTTTTCAAGTACCCGCTATCGAGTGACTTTTGTTGCATGTGCAATGGACGTGTTTTTTACGCGGTACTATTTGAAGAGCAATAAATGACTTACATGAATTGTTTGTAAAAGTTTCCAGAAAAAAGCATTATGTGAGAGGTATTTTTTGAAACATTCATAATAGCTTAACATTTTATCGTGTTGATTCTGCTATTCAATTTCCATGTCAACATCCTGTAATACGTATAAATATATTTGAGCAGCATGTAAACAGTCGTCGAGATGCGCCTATGGAAGAGTATCCGCTCATCAATGTTTTGAAATGTGAATGATTGCTTCTTCACTCTTAACTGTTGCATCATTGTGTGGGTAATTGGCTGCTTTGTATTAGCATCCTGCATACGTGCGTAATACTCGCAATTAGATCTGTATCTTAAGACGGTATTAAAATGTCACAGACATTGAGATCATATTTAGGATTTCTCAAAGTGAAGGTTGAGTACCGCGCTCTTTTACGCTTTTTCGAGATCACCGATTTCAATGTGAAAGTACATCAGGAAGCTGTAGTTTTTTTGTATGACGTCGCGGGTATCAAATACTTTTCGGCTTCTATTAATTAAGCCCATCTTGATGCAAAGATAGATGTTAACAAAGATATTTGATCTTCGTATTCTCCTATGTATGTAAGTTGAGCGGTATTATAGAGGGTGTCCCAGAATAAGCAGCAAACTCTCGAAAGAATATACAGGGTGTCTGCGAAAGGTTGGGAAATCTCGAAACTGGAGATGCTACAGACCAAAATATGTGAATTGACCTAAATATACCTTAGTACAAAAGTTGATAGTTCACGAGATACAGGGTGTCAAAGTTACAATTTTATTTTCTATTTTTCCATATTGCTTGAGAAGTTTTTCAGATTTTGGCAAAAAACTCGGTATAGGGAGGTTTTCTAGTATGATAAACAAGAATCCGTTATTTTTTATGGCCAAACTTCCAGAGGGCGCCACTTACAACACTATTTCGGTAAATAACTTATCATAACATTTTTGTGCTACCCTGTATACAACAACTGACCGAAAAATCTTACTTTCTCGTATTTCCACAATAAAAAAGGTTCACTTGTTAGAAGTGTCCAAAGCTAACATTTTTCGAGATATTTGTTTTTAAAAGTTCCAATGCATTATTTGTACCATGATGGTAAAAAATATTTATAACATAATAATCAAGTTGCTTTGGATAATATCTGACTAGCGTTGCTATGGTTTTTAACAATAACAAATGAGGATGGCAACAAAACTTATAAACGGAGATAATAACTACAACAATAGGAAGGTTCGCCATTTTTTGATTTTTACTCAAATCAAGAGATTTTGTTATTAAAAAGCGATAAAAAAAATGAGCAAAAAATATTGATATTTACGTCGACTAAAAGCATTTCAAAATCAAGGATCGGCGCGAGGCGGGAAAACGTACCTGTGCGCGAGACTAGACCGCGTGACGTCAGTAGCCAGACACACCTCGCTAGCTCGGAGAGATATGGAAAACTATCTACAATACAAGATGAGTACCGTTCGAGCCCGGATGAATCCTAATATTGCACCTCATAAATTTGCATGTCAACTGGGTAGACAATTAAGCTCTTAAAAAGGGCAAGGCAGAAAGACATCGCCAAATATTTGCAGCCAGCGGCGGCACGCCGGGCGTGACCCTTAACCGAAAAGTCCGAGCCTGAAGGCGTGGATGTTATTGAGGATGAACTGCCTGAACCTTTAACAGTAGAAGTTCAGACACAGGTATGTGACAAGGCATGTCAAACCAAACAGGTACATTTTAGAAGCAAGTCAGTTCAAATCTCGCAAAAACGGATAGTAATGGATGTTGCTGTATCGCCAATGAGAATTCCTGCGCTTGCTAAACAGATTTCAGAGCGGCCAAAAAAACGTTTGCAAGTGGAAAGTGAACGGGCAAATCTTGAAAGTCCTGCAATAACAGAAACACCCGAATCTGATTCGTATGAAGCCTGTGGAAGCTGTACTGAAAGTAGTGACAGCGAAGCTGACCAGCTTACCGCCGAGATCGTAGTCATTCTAAGCGCAATATTAGTCAATGTTTAGAACCTGGCTTCATGCCCATCCCCCATATGCAGCCGTAAACTTTGTTATTTCAGTACTGCCCCCTCCCTAATTTAAGTATTCCCCAATATATGCTAAATAAATAAGATTCTCTCTACATCCCTGGAATTTCTCTCATTGAAAACATATTAGGTACCATACTTTACTTAGTGTAAAAAAGCCTCATTATGCCTGCAAAAAGAACCATTTTCGGGCCTCTTGTTAGGCGTAACAAGGTAAAAAGGTATGTATGATAATTTAAATTACATAATATTTTACCTAGGAAGAAAAAAGCAGAGATAAATAGCCTTCAAAATTATTGTCACAAGCAGGCAGTATTATGTCTTAATATTATTAGCTTTCAATAGACTAAAGCAAAGCAATTTTTGCGGAGAAATACAAAAAAATACCACCCACTGGAGCTAAACAAAAAAATTAGCTTCATATAGGTACTTACCGAACTACTTTAACACCGCTGCCCTGAGGTTCATTTAAATTTGCATTATTTGCCAAAAACTTGTACACGATTTCCACATCCACATGGGATAAATTTCGCGAATTAGCTTTCTGATAACCTTGGAGCATTGTGCTAGTACACAAACGTCGGTCCCAGTTTATATAAATTCGTATTCGTATACTCTTCACTCCGTATACAAGACACAAGATACAAGTACTCTACGAGGGCGACAGCACGTGTCTGGCTACTGGCGTCACGCGGTCTAGTCCCGCGTTTTCTAGCCTTGCGTCGATCTTTGACCGTTTTTTAATAACATAATCTCTCGATTTTAATTAAAATAAGAGAAATACGAACCTTCCTATTGTTCAAAATGAGCACCACCTTGCCTAACACACTCTCGAGCTCGACGAACTAATCCTTGCTGCACTCTCTAAAGTATTCGGATGTTATTTTTCATTTCCTGTGGTTTGTAAAACACTAAAACGTTTCTGGGATTTCATATTGACAATGACATGAGTTGGAAAACGAACATCGATAAGCTGAATAAAAAACTAAGCAGAAGCATTATTACAATTGCGAAGTTGTGTTTCAATGCCTCGCAAATTCTGAACATATTTTACAATTGTATATCACGTTATAATATGGGGATGTTCGCTTTCAGTAAAAATGATGTATTAACACAGAAAAGAATAATTCGGTTGATATTTAATATGAAATTTGGAGAGTCCTGTAGGTCAGTGTTTAAGAAACATAGAATTTTAACTCTACCAGCCCTTTACATATAGAAATATTTGCCATTTGCAACGCAAATCTCCGGACTAGATGAAAAAAAAAATCTGACATCCATAGGACCTGCAACTCATTTAGATCAATTATACATATGTTTATGAACCAAGTCCCTTTTACATTACAAATCTATAAGATGCCTTAATGAAAAGAATACTCAAGAGTGCTCTCAAGAATGTCTTACCCCTTTTCTTACATTTTATTCTGTACAGAAGTTCTTCGACGCATGTAATTGTTTATAGTTTGTTTCGTCTGTCTTGTATGTGGAAATTTTTAAAACGTTTTAAAAGCCCAATTTTTTTACCTATTTATGTTATTTATTTTATTTGTGGTTGTCGTGACTTGAGTATCTATGTATTGTAGATCTTTTTGGATTCATAAATAAATGAATGAGAGTTATCTCACTGAATGCTGTTCCTCTTTGCACCTTTGATTAACGCATTCAAGCAGACGGACGTCTAGGTACAAATTGCACTCCAGGTGGAACACGTTAATCAATGATTGCACATAATTGATAGCATGCTCAAGAGGACATCACAACTTCCTATTAACCTAGTAATGAGAAGGCATATTAGGCCAGGATTCGTTATGTTACAAAGTCAAATTGTTAAAAACTTTGCTCGATAAAAAAATTGGACAATAACTGCAAACCAGGGGTTTCCCTTTTCTTAGTCTCCAAGCTTAATCCGATCGAATTTCTTTGAAATGAATTTGATAGGGCAGTCATCATTCAACGGTATCCGACTCAAAAAACCGCTCTGAAGTAAAGTGAAAAAGACGCAACGTTGAAACATCTGTTCTTGAAAATCACGTCACTAGAATATGATGAAGTATTGCAATAGTGCTGAATATGAAAAGAGGGTGTTTTCGGCGAAAGAGATGAACAATTGTAACTTACATTGCGAAAATGTTAACAGTTATTATTTGAGGTACATATCACATTAGGGAGTAAAATAAACAATGAGCCAGCTTCTACTAGTTTTTCCATTTTTAATTATAGACTTCCATCTGTCCGAAAACATTTGAACTAGTACATTTACGCTTCTCACGACTATGAATGATATTTTCAATATTTTTTTCCAGACGTATACCGGCAGAGGTGAAAAGATCGGCGTGATCTCGTTTGGTACACAAAATAATCAGCATTACAGGTAAGAAATCTTATGTAAAATACGAGTGCTTTTAACGATACTTTCATCCAGCAGCATTGTGACTGACGATGACGATGCAGACGAACTACTAACTATAGACTTGACTGTTGCGAGAAGGAGACCGAAACGACAAGCGTACAGAAGGTAACGCATTTTTCTCATACCTAACGTACTGTACACTGGATGATTCAAAGTGCTAGCCTATTGCAGTAGATGTAGATTCTTCTAATGGATTCACCTTAAAGCGTTCAAACAGTCTGCCCCAGAGTGAGATAGCAATCTCCTGGGTGCAATCTTTGAAAAGGTATCCGACTTCATTTTTGAACGGGTCAAGCTGAAATTTTGCGTGATGAAATTGATGCTTGACGCATGACTATATTTTAACGTAAAAGTGGCAGTTAAAAATTTAAAGATGGCGGTTGGGTTACAATTTTTTTTCATATGGGATGGAGGATCATGTGGTGCCTAATTTTGAAGCTCCTTATAAGTACTTTAATACCATAAAATACACTGAAACGCAAAATTAATCGGACAAAAAATTTTTTTTTCAAATTAAATTTGAAATAACTTTTCAACCTTTGCATCAATTCCGCTAATTTTTTCGACATGTTGTAGGTAATTTTATTGTCATCATTATCGACTGCCGATCTCGCAAAACATTTAAAATGTTTGTTGTTATACAGGGTGCAACTAAAAGGTGCATTTTGCCCTAAATTTCTGAACACCCTGTGGAAACATTGGACTACTGAATAATGTGTCTTCGTATGAGAATTTTAAGCCTCAACTTTTCTCCATTTTTTTTTTGATTCATGTCAATATCTCAATTATTGAAGAACATATGCTGATTTGAAGAAAATCATGCGAATCATAGCCATAAGCAATACACTGTTTCAAGCTACCTTTGCCGGGTAAGAAATTGTTTCAAGTAGGCTGTGTCTGTTAGCATTTTTATAGCATGTCAAAAAGATCCTTGTCAAGTAATACTCAACAAAAATGACACCGGAGCAAGTAGCGCAAGCTGCAGCTTTACAAGATGATGGTCGTCCTATTCGGTATATCGCAGAAAGGCTTGCCATTCTACGCAATACGGTATTCGATGCGACACAAAGATTTAGATAAACTGGTTCTTACTCAAGAAGACCTGGGCCAGGAAGACGGACAGTAACATCGGTTTCTGAGACTTCAAGCTCTTCGAGCCAAGGTTAAAAAGTTATTTAAAATTTAATTTGAACAATATTTGTTTGTCCGGTTAATCTTTCAACATGGCGAACTGACCGGCTATCAAATTTGAGCATCCACAATCACCAAAGCGCTATACTGTGTTATATCAATCTTCTTCTTTTGGACGGATCTATCCAAACATGTAATTAAATATGAAATATTACATTTGAAAAGAATATCAAAATCAATTACAGTCTTCAACTCTGCATATTCAGATAAATCTTTTAAAAAAAAATAGATATTGAATAATCAAAACGCTGAATTTTGATAGCTATCCAGTACGCCATTCTGAAAGATAGTAAATCTACACTCCGCGATTATAAAATACTGTTAAGGAGCTTCAAACTGAGGTATCACACGACCACCCATTCCATTAAGAAAATGTTTTGAAGTTCGCGCTATTTCATCAGCCTAAATTTCAGCTTGCTAACTTTTTTTGACCCATTCAGAGACTGAAGTGGCGGGACCTTTTTGAATAGCACCACATACGTTGTTACAGAAAATGTTATGTATTTGATTTATTCGATAGAAGTAACACTAAAAAGAAATATAAAAATAGGGTACACTTTTGGAGCTTTGAGTCATCCAGTTTTCCGAATGACTACTGTTACTTGTTACGTTTGTGAAATGATGTTCTAGTCGATATCTCGAAGGACTGAGAAACCGCCATGGACAAGGCAATAACAAAAACTACAACATACAGTTTGACTCCCCCGTGTTATCAGCATCATCGAACAAATTCAAAGAAAGCAGCTTTCCTGGCTACTTGAAGTTCAACTTCGACGGATCAGATAATAATGACGAGTTCAAGCCTTTCGTTCCTGAGTATCAAACACAAAAATACCAAACGATGTATCCTCCCGAAAGCCCGGATTATAGTTATCATATGCATACACCAACTGCTTCACCGAACAATAAAGGTGGATATCATGACTTTTTGCTACAGTCTCATAGCGATCTTGTGACTAAAACAGCTAGTACACCTAAGGTATTCAACAAAGCTACAGAAGCCGTTACAAAGAAATTGGATACAAAAAAATACAAATCTACACTTGGTTCTACTACTTCTACCACTGAAATGTCTCCAGACAAAGATCATAAGGAAGATACAACGGAAGGTGAACAGGCTGACTATGATGAAGAATATGAGCATTTTGAACCACCACCCGAGTTTTTCCAATCCGAGAATAGATATGCAAACATTGCGAATCCATTTGCAGATCCCAACTTTGATTTTGATAAGTTCTTAGAGGGATTCCAGGAGAGTACTACTACTACGACTACAACGCCAAAGCCGACAACTCCAAGGCTTACGTCAAGTATTCACTTTGGTTTCCATGGAAATCAATTTACATCCACAACGCCTCTTATTTCGGATCATATGCAGCATATAACGAACATGGCTCATAATCTGACCCATTTCCCTCAAAATCACCATTTCATGCAGCCTTCAGGTGGTCAAAATGTTAACACCCAATTTACGTCATTGCCTCACCCAACATTTTCGTCAACCACTGGAGTCATGCCTCAATATCCAACGACTGGTGGGGTTATTCAACAGCATCACCAATCCAGCTTGGCCCATCAGGTACCACAAAAGGCAAACAGTCAACAGGTTCAGAAATCTACTTTGGGTAATCAGCATACTCTTGCAAATTTCGGAGCCAATCAGAAACCTCCGATACTTGGAGTGCATAAACATTCCAGTACTTCCAACCTAGGTATTCAGCAGTACCCTAAAGTACTTCAAAAGCAACCTCCATCAACTTTCACATTAGGAACTGCTTCGTTTGCTCACAGTTTACCTACTATGACTCAAACTATGCCTGACCTAACGTCAAATATGTCTATGTTCAAATCCAGTGGACAATTTAGTTCCACGACTGTGGATCCCAGATATCTAGGTCCAGGTAATATGCCTAAGCAGTTTTCTCATAAACATGCAACAAATACCATGCCGGTACTACCTTTAGCAGATGGCACTCAGGTAATCGAGGGATATCCTCCTAACAACTACATCAGAGTATCCACTCCAAAAACATTTTCTGAAGGAACATCCAGAAAATCGAGACCAATCGTGGAAGAATACTTTGAATTGAGTACTGTCCCAAATGCTTACCATACTCACAGTACCACAGCACGGCCAAAAATTGTAGTCACGCCTAAGTCCCATGTCTCAGTACAACGTATAAACAACAAAACTGTGATAACAAAATTACCTGCAAGCGAATATTATTATGAGTATGAAGACCAAAAGCTGCCTACTCAAGCACCAAACATTAACTTAGAAGTTCCCAGTACCGTAAAAAATCCTGCTGACGAATACGAATACTATTACGACGATGAAGAGTACGATGACCACAAAAACAAGCATGGCGTACTGAATTCAACTCGAACTAAAAAGCCTGTTGATACCACCAAAACCACATACCAAGTAACGCCTAGTACCACTGGTATCAAGACCACGAATGCTCTACAGCACCACTCGACCCTGAGTGCTACTATAACCCCCAAATATGGTACCAAACCTGGCCCCAAACCATTTGTCATGCAACATCAAAGAATGAACCCTAGTACAACTTTCCCAAGTGGTAAACAGCCTAACAGGGGAAAACAAAGACTTAACGCCGACTTTGACTTGAACCGAGGACTGCTGAAAGTTAAACCAAGGTAATATGACTATCCTGACTCAAAAATAACGCAGTATATGGCAATGTACATACAAACTAACGACTTTGATTTCTTTACAGGGTGAAACAGCACAAAATAAATGTTTCACAGCATAACTCATATTTTTTTTTAACTCAATCGGTTAACATCTCCCTTGCTGTTTCGCCCTGTATATGAGTCAACGATTACTCAAAAAACGGAATTGGCTCAATACTTCCCACGTATTGTAAAACAATTTCCAAGACAATATTTTAAATTTGAAAATGAATAAAACATCTAGAAAAACGTAGCAATAGTTCTAGGGCATACAGTAGATTAAAAATAACGAAACACAATCGTGCGCATGTCCACAATAAAGTAACAAGAGCAGGAATAGATGGATTGGTAACCCGAGCGACGTACGTTTCTGCTTATTGGCTTCACCAAGTCTAAAAGCAAAAAAATAAAGTCAGCTGGGCCAAGATTACTACTGAAAAAATTACTTACCAGCGCTTGAGACAAATCCCTTTGATTTGGGACCAAAAGCCGGCATTCGATCGAATCTGCTACAAGAGCTTGCAAACCAAGCCAAACGCTCTATCCACACCTTTGCGTTTGTAAAGATTCGCTGAGGTTTGCCAAGCATGCTTATGCGGCATAAGCATACGAAATTCTCTTGTTATTTTTTGATGTACTTTCTACTCCATAAATATTGCCACGTTTTTCTGAACTATCCTGTATATCATGTCACAATCAGAATATCTAAGGATGATTTGAAAAGTCAAGTCAAAATAAAATTATTTTAGGGACTTGGAAAATGAATAATAATGGCATCTTTTGGTTTTCCAAAATTTGCGAGTTATTTGTTCTGTATTTTAAATTTTCTAGCATCAACCAAACAAAAACCAAAGCAAAAGTTGGCAATTATTACTTTCAATACCTCTACAGAGAAATTCCTGTATTGTACTACGAAATGATCTGCCTATAGTTCATGGCCTCAAATTGAAAGACTCCATATCAAGGGTATTAGCACGGTTAGACAATTGCTGATGATGAGTAATATCTCGTGGTATTTGATATTTAGAAAAATGAGGCTTGATGACAACATACTATTCCGCCTACATACCGAACCCGAGAAAGTATTGTTTCAAAGAAATCAAAAGATAGTTTAAATATCATAGAGACAATATAAATTTAAATTACGCTTAACCATTGCTTTCATAAAGGTTTTTTTATTCTAATATGTAATTGTAATTATCTTCAACACTTGTGATACTACTCATTACAGTCAGATAAGTTGAATAGTTGACAAAAGCTTGTGGTACAATACACTTTATCTTGAAAATTTTGAATGTTGTGGAAATATGAGAAATTTTTAAAATTGCCAAAATTTTGAAAAATTTTTAAATCTTTGGAATTTCTAAATTTTTGCAGTTTTTGAAATTTTCGACATTTATTAAATTCTTGAGAATCCTAAAACATTTTAGTTTTCGATATTTTCATATCAGTAAGTTTTCGAGTACTGAAAATCTCTGAAAATCCTTTCTTAAATTTTGAAATCATTGAAATTGCTGTAATTTTTGACATTTTTGAAAATCTGTGATGACAGCTCTTACAGCTTACTTTCAAGTATAAAAATTATATCTCCATTTGAGGACTATTCAAGGGATCAAGGGTGCGTTATAGTTTGTACAGAAGTCAAGAGTTGATCAACCGTTAATTAGCAATCTGCCCTCAATGGTCAAATGTAGGCCGAAGGGCTGTGAAATCTGAATGATACTTTTCAAGATCCAAAACTATTAAGAAAATGTAATATTTGGATTTCAAATAATTTTCCTTGTGCCTATTGGAGTGAGAAATAAAAAAGAATTTACGTAATGTACTGTTGTAGCGTACAACTAAATACCATTGAAATTGTTAAGTGCTTATTAGTTAACAGAAGTTATGGGTGATTTCACAAAATTCCAATAGCAATCATCAATAAATCCATCGAAACAAATCATAATAAACGCGCATTGCTTAGCGAATTGTAATCAGACAGATTCTTTTATGTTTACATTATTACGTTTTAGAGAAAACGACAAAATTAATGTCATACTTTACTGCTGAAAAGTTTCTATCAATCAACACTAAATAACAATGTTTATGCAAGGTGTTTCCTAATAGAATGTCAATATTCAAGGGAGCGACATTTGGGTTCATTTTTTAAAAAAAAGTTCATATGAACGTACGTCACTTTTGAGATGGTAAAGTTTTCAAAATTAAACCATATATTTGTGTATGAGCAGATTTGAATTTTAGATATTTTTTTTAGCCCAACGCACGGTTGTAATTTTAACGATATTCTTATGATTATGGATTGAAAAAATCAAGCGATCATATTTGCTTGGAAATAATTGGGAATTTCAAGAATAATTTTGGTGGAAAGTAAAAAAATATGTGGTACAATAATAATGGCCCTTGACACATAATGCATGTATGCCAAATTTCATTAAAATATTTAAAGGCAGCAGCGGTGGCCGCAGTAGTAGACTCTTCGGTCTCCTGATCAGTCGCCGTGCGCTGACCGGGTTCGAATCCCGTCCCAGGACAAATTTTTCTCTTGCCTATGGATGTTGCAATTGTCCGTAGGTGGTAGACGGTCTCTAACTGTCGAACGCGGAGGTACCACCCGGCGGATCTCGTAGGCGGGGCCAGAATGTGTGCATGTTGCATACACACGTGTTCCCTCGCCAGAGTCCGTGTGGCATCCCCCCTTTCCCCTGTATCCCCCCATAGCCCCACAGTACCCTATGGGTGTTTAGGCCTTCGTGGTAGTTGGAGTATAAAAAAACAGATCTTAGTAATAAATGATTTATTTTTAAAAAGTTTACCGCTCTGTATCTCAAAAGGTAAGACGTGTAGGAGATCATATGAAGTTTTCTTCTGGACCCTTAAATATTAACATTTAATCAGCAAACACGAGTTATAACAATTCTTCCTCCCACAGTATGACAGCAAAATATTACCGTAAACATAAATTTGTAACTTCAACAGCAGCAAAAATTTTAGGAATTTCGGAAGCATGGAGGATATTTCTAACACCATACTAAAGAAGCATTAATATTGTTGAAAAAGAAGTTTTGGAAAATTGAGCTTCCTTCACATATAGAATTTCATCGAGTATGCAACACAAAGACCTGGACATTGAAAAAATCAAGAAAAGTAATCGAAAACCATAGCAGTATCTCCCTCCAATATGTCCCAAGGATTATACAGTATAGTCTCAATAATATAAAGTTTCTTTAATATCTGAAAAACATATAAAATTTGTGGCAATCAATTTTTGTTATAACAATGCATGTTCCAATAATTTAGAAAAATGTATCATTTAGGCATCTTTAGTTTTGAGAAAGTTCTGTACAGTTACGTATTTTGGAAAGTATTGAGCCGATATCTCCATATAACTAGACTGTTTTATCCACAATCACCCATGACACATTGTTGCATTTTTCATCGTTTTCTTCGATTATTTATCATTTTATTCATTTTATATATTATCTTGTTTCACGTAAGTTGGTTCTATTCATCCGTTCCTAAAATCAAAATTCTTGGTCGTTGTACGCGGACTTGCCGTTCTTAGCAACTGCCATCTTAAGTTTTAAAAAATATTCTACCAAATATCTATAGAAATAACAATATGTACAAAATGTTACATTGATCAGTATTTTATATTTTACCTGTGCACTTGATTTTGTACGTTTATTGATGTTTTTTACTCCGTTTTTTTTTTATGATTGCTTGTCCTGAAAGAGGACATATTTCGCCTTCGTCTTCAAACCGGCAATACATTCGTGAGTTTGACCAACTTTGGTGAAACAAGATGGATAAACAATTTCTCTAAAATTTCTATGTTGTTCTAGTGACGAAAGCAGTGTAGCACCACCAAAAGCGGTGCCTACAGCAACACCCACCTCTGCCAGAACGGTCTATAATAATAGTCAGTATACCAACAACCAGCATGAACCATATTACGCTTTATATGATGATGTAGATCTGTATAGAGATGCTGGTAAATATGTAGATATAGCTTGGCTAGGTAGATTTAAGAAAATAACACAACCATGGGAGCTTTCTGAATATACAATATTTAACGGAATTCATGACTTTCGTGCCCAACCAACATTTTGTATACTTCTATCCCTCAAAATACCAGCATTTAAGTATGATCTTGGATTCTTTCCATGATGTTTGGATTCAAAATATTGGATCTCAGTATATTTATTACTGGAGACACCACGAATATATGGCTGCAACACAGTATTTGGCATATTGGGCCACTTTTTCAGTATCCGGATATCAAATGCCAAATCATGAAACAAAAATGAGGGGTCGTCAACGCGGGGATTCCCCAGGAATCGGTCTTAGCTCCGACACTGTTCTCTTTACGTATCAACGACCTCCTCTCCTGTAAGATCAATCCCATCCAAAGCCTTGCTGATGACAGCGCTCTACATGCAGAAAGAAAAGAAAAACTAGCAGCGACTCTGGCTAGAGACCTGTACCTTTATGAACCAAAAGCGTCCTAGCGCTCATCCGGTTAGTGGAGTGGGTTTTCCCAGTTCAACTAACCCTAGATAGTTCAGCAATGGGATTATCGTCACTGACACCAGATACAACATTTACGTTAAAATCTGGCGCCAACACTGTGACGTTATGATCTTTAGCGTGATATGATGAATTACTCCACTCCCTTCCGTAAATGTGATGTTAGTTTTCCCGCAGAGGCTCTTGCCACAAATGTAAGGAAGATGTTTCTTACATCATTGATAAAAAAACGAATAAAATTTGTTATCAAAGAAGTCGTATAGCTCTCATCGTCGCGTTATTTACTATTCTCGTGGTAATTATGATCCTTTCATCAAGAAAATCTGATACTTCATCCTGATGCGCCAAGTTCTCTGAGGATGACATATCTTTGTTTATAGTACTTGTAAATACTCACTTCCTACGAAAAACATATATGAATACGCACGGTTTAGAGGTAAGACATGATGGAAAGATAGTGCACTGTAAAAAAATAAGGATGCACCCCAGTATTTTTGTACAGAGTGACGTAAGTTAAGGCTTATCACCACATTCAAGTGGTATGAAGACCAAGTAAGAACTAATTCTTCACGCTGATACTGCATACTTCTGAGTTTTGTTCCTGGAGTATTGAAAATTTGGAACTACCTACCCAGACAACACTTTTCCCAGATTCAAAGATTTAAAACTTAGGTCTTGGTGTGTTCTTTTCTTTTGGGCACATACAGTTCTTTATTACCTCATCATGCTGAATAGAAAACACTTTGCTACTGTACGAAGATTATCAATAACTGTAGTTGTTTAAAAGGATGTTCAAGGATTAAAATATTACTTGCGTCACTTTGCTAGTGATTATCTAATCGTCTGAAATCTAAGAGGCTGGAAAGTCGCGTTTACATACATAATCTCTATATGTTTTTTCACCATTCTTTTATGAAATATTGTTCTAACAGTATTAACGAGACGCATATTTCTAATAAGTTGTTGCTCATATCTCGTCGTTCATAACACAAAGTGGCGTATCTCATTTTTTCCAATTTTACAAGAGAGCGTTTTAAATATTTACACGAGATTTGAGTTGTGGCTGACAAAAAGGTATTATTACTACATAATTGAATTTGTGGGTATATTTGCTCATATTTACAAGCTTTTCAAGAATGAGAAACGATTAACCCGTTTCTCATTTGATGTGTTCAAAATTTCCAAAAGAAGTAGGTACGTCGTTTTGTGAAATTGAAGGATCGTAATTCATCGAATAAAGAGTTAGTTACGTCCGTGTTAAATTAGAATGATGAAAAATAAAAACACATGAAATGAAAAAAAATGTTTACAAAAAGGGGATCAGTGAAATAAGTATCACCAATATCTAAAATTATGTAACTCCCTAAAAAAGTAAATATGGCAGCACAAACAAAAGATTAACTCAAACAATAATGATATGATATGTCTGTTAAATATGAATAAAATAATAATTAGTATTTCATCTATTACTCATGAGGAAGATTTATATAGAATCTTTGGTATTCTGGTAACCGAACTACCAGTCACACAGTGACTTCAAATCCATATATTTTTTTGCAGTTATTTTTCTTGGCTCTGCATTCAGAACTTCGAAGGGAATATCTTTTCAATTAAGTCTTTGTGTTTTTAATCTAAAAAAGCTGTATTCGCGTTGCAGGTGACTAGTTTTGTAAAATATTGTTAGCGGCTCATGTTTTTTAACATTTATTTCCATAAGATCGGGCCATTTTATAGTTTCCCCTGAATCTGAGGTTTTTATCGAAAAAATTCTCAGCTCTTGGGACATTTTCTAAAATCCTAAAAGTCGTTGTGCTGAAGTTCGTGCACAATGTACGGCTGATTACGTCTTGCCAAGCGAATAACTGGAGGAAGTTGGGCAGGTATAAAAATTTCACCTACTCTGGACAATGCTGTTGTTGTTGCACTGTGGGCAGAATCTCCTTCATTTTGACCATGAAATAACTCAAAATAGTATAATGAGATATATTCTATATACGAAGCTTTAGCTACAGCATATAAAAGCATTGTCGCAATAAGGAATTCTGATTCTGTCCACTCCATCTCCTTCAAAGATTCCACTGGAATTTAATTTTTCTAGGAGAGTTCTCATTGTCCATTCCGGGACACCTAGCATGTGCAAAAATAGAGTTCTAAATACTAAATACTGCTTGCCTTCAATTGCAAGGTAATATTTGCGGCTTTTTTGCCTTCGAGACCTTTCTTTTTTTTGTAGTTTTTTTAGCTATCGGCTATCTTACTTAGATGAGCCATACGCTGTAAAATGACCTCTATATTTCATAATTTTACAAATAGGCGTAATTTGAGTTAAGCTCCCTCGTGAAATTTAATTTTCTATTAAAATGAGATAAGTCTAATATTGTTTTTCTATCACTCTGAAGGTATTAGAAACTGACTTTTTTAAGTAATAATATCGACGAAACTCAATTTTCGTATTTTCTGAAATGCGCCGCTTCGTGTTATTGGCGACGATCTGTTCCAACCTTGAACCCACATAACACACTGAAAAATCATACCAGATTTTGAATAAAAAAGATTAGTAGATGCATGATTCTTTCCTGATAACATTATCCAAAACATTGAAATTGTTTTTTTGTCTTGCAATCGATTATCAACTTATCTTTTTTTTCATAATATTATCGTTGCTGTAACAGACTTACATAATTTTGATGGATGCGTCAGCTATCTGTTGCTCAAAATTATCGTACGCCTAAGTTATTTTATGCTGCTATGCATTTATAAATGGTGACCTTCTCCTTTATAGATAACTAGATATTGGCAAACATGTATATATTCACTTATTTAGATGTTTAATTGATGTCTCGCTTTTTATTGTAATAAATGATACAATGCTTTCCAGAAAGGTCGCTCCTACTTATTATTTGAACGAGAAGATCCTTAAGAGTACTTTCTAACAGTAGAGTAGAATATAAAATCACTATCTTTCTGAAAGGGTGGGTTGGGAGTTTGTTAAAGTTTATTGTTTTCGATATTAAACCGCTTATAACTAAACAACTAATCATCAAAATGTTACATATGTCTGCGAAAGGTTAGGAAATCTCGAAACTGGAGATACTACAGACCAAAATATGTGAATTCACCTAAACATACCTCAGTCCAAAAGTTGATAGTTTGCGAGATACAGGCTGTCAAAGTTACAATATTTTATTTTCTATTTTTCCTTATTGCTTGAGAAGTATTTCAGATATCAGCATAAAACTCGGTATACGGAGGTTTTCTAGTACGAGAAACAAGAATCCGTTATTTTTTATGGCCGCACTTCTAGATGGCGCCACTTACAACACTATTTCGGTAAATGACTTATCATAACTTTTTTGTGCTACCCTGTATACAATAACTGACAGAAAAATCTTATTTTCTCGTATTTCCACAACAAAAAAGATTTACTTGTTATAAGTGTCTAAAGCTAATAGTTTTTGAGATATTTGTTTTTAAAAGTTGCAATGCATTATTTGTACCAAGTCGGTCAGTTGCTGTATACAGGGTAGCATAAAAAAGTTATGATAAGTTATTTACCGATATAGTGTTATATGTGGCGCCCTCTGGAAGTTTCGCCATAAAAAATAACGGATTCTTGTTTCTCATACTAAAAAAACCTCCCAATTCCGATTTTTATGCCAAAATCTGAAATACTTCTCAAGCAATAAGGAAAAATAAAAAATAAATTTGTAACTTTGACACCCTGTAGCACGCAAACTATCAACTTTTGGACTGAGGTATGTGTAGGTCAATTCACATATTTTAGTCTGTAGTATCTCCAGTTTCGAGATTTCCCAACCTTTCGCAGACACGCTGTATACTATTCTTTTGGAATGGTCCCTGAATGTTCAATAATTTGTGAGACAGTCAGTTAAAAAATGGCGTCGGTGTTTACGTTTTTGTTTGCAGTACGGATAGATTAGTCAGCCGGATCGGTTCGCCGGGCGGTGAGCTTAGATAGCAAGGGTACACGGATCAAAAACATTTCTTTATCATTCGAAGGTTCAAAGGTAAAAGTACAGAAAAATCTATAATGGAAGCGAATAGATATACAAACATTTTTCATATCCCACCCCTACAAAAAATTATCTAAAAATGGTCATCAGAAACGTGAAAAAACGAAGTTTGAGTGATTTTCATTCTCCACCTTTTTGGCTTTTTTCCCGTTGCTCCTGGACCGATTTTCAAAAACTAGCTTTTCCGTTCTTAGCACAGTAGCAACCTTGTGAAAAAATTTCATCAAACTCCAAGCGGTACTTCTCAACTTATAAACGGGCTAAGGATTAGCGGACAGACAGACTGACGGACATAGGTGGCTTGGCTTTTTGTGATGTACATGTCATATAACATCCAAAAAACATATCTCATTTCCGAATTTTTTCGCGAGTACAATACTGCCCAGTGACATAGGAATCAAGAAATCGATTAATTTCTGTCAAATTTCTTGAATGGGATATTTTATTACATATTCGGATAGACTATTCCAAGAGAAAAAGATATTGGCTGTTCAGTTATACGTAAATGTCTCAACGTACAAAAACGCTCAAATTTGAAAGCTTGCCAATCCGTTATTAAGAAAGATAATGACTTTATATTCTAGAGTTATAAAGTACTTATAAAGAGCTTCAAAATGCGGTGTCGCACGATCTCCCATTCCATTAAAAAATATTCTGAAATCGCACCCAACAGTCATCTTTAAATTTCCAACTGCCGGTTTTAGCTAAAACACAGTATTCATGCATTAACTTGATTACCAAGAATTTCAAATCCGTATTTTGACTTATTTTTTTTTTGTTTCTGTTAATTTATTAATTTTAACTGCGGGGAAGCTAATCTATTTTATCTGCTGTTGTTTGCCTATGGTGTCCATTTTAAAATATCTAATTTAAGCTATTGTTTATTGTTGCTTGTCATTTTACTGTTTGTTTTTTATGTATATACATACTGTAAATTGTTTGTTGACGAACCCTATACATGTTTTATACATGTCTAATGGGTAATAAATATTATTATTAAAAAAATAAGTATGGAGGAACGATTTTGGAAAGTACTGTATAATATTTTCAGTATGTTTGAGTACTTTGTATAACTTTTAAAAATATGTCGATTTGACAGAGCTATGTAAGGCAATGAAAACATATGCCTTTTCTATATTAAACACCGTATTCTTATTCAAAGATTGCACAAGAAATTTTCAGACCCGTCATGGAAATAAAGGCCATACACATTTAAGGTCCTTAGAATACCACAAGCCTTATAACCACGTGTTGTCTTCTGAAGAGTCCCGCTTTAATAATAAGCGGTATTACTCTGAACGATTGTACACTAGGTACAAACAGGGTGTTAACCACGTATGCACTGTTATGAAAGAAGTTGATTTCTCAAAAAAAAGTAATAAAAATCCTACAGAAATTAAGTTATAAGCCTGAGTTTCAATAATAAATTGAAAAATAAATATCTGTATTTTGCATTCATCGTGGTGATATTAGAACACGCATTAATAATTTATTGTAGCAAATGTTGTACCAAACAACTGACGAAAACAGAATACCAGGAATTTTTTGTTTTTTCATACTAAGAAGAACGTGTGAAGAAGGTTTAATCTGTATCGTGGGTCGATTTTTGTGAAGTTAAATAAGAAAGTATTTTGTGAGTTTATGTTTTTAGTTATTTATTAATAAAAATGGCTAATGAGGAATGAATGAATGAATGAATCTTGAAATTAGAGGCATTCCGGCCACCATAAGGAGCCAGTGCATAGGCCGCTTAAGCGGGCCCTTATGCACCTCTGCAATCCTTAGATCACAAGCCTCGCCCTTTTAGCGAAGTTGAGAATCGCCTTGAGTCCATGCTCCTTGACGTCCTGAGGGTCCAAAGTAATGGACCCCAGTATAGTCTGCCTATAGTAGCTCAGAGCTTCACAGCGACACAAAACGTGCGCCGAGGTCTCTTCCTCTACCCCGCAGCGATCACACAAGGGATCCTCAGCCACTCCCATGACGTGCAGGTGACGCCTTAACGTGTTATGGCCAGACAACAGTCCTACCAGCAACCTTAGGTTGGCTCTATCCTGAGATAGGCAGAAGCGTCCATCCTTAGCACTGGGCCCTTCAATGAGTTCCCGTGCCTGGCGGAGATATCTGGAGATACTTATCCATTTCTGAGAGTGTTCTCTTGCAACCCACGTCTCTATTTTCCTCCTAGCTTTATGCGCGGTCACTCCTAGAGCTCGCTCAGGACTAACGAGCTTGCTGGCTGATCCTGTCTACGCCAGAGTGTCCGCCGTCTCATTGCCCCTTATCCCAGCGTGCCCCGGTACCCACATTAACGATACCGGATGCCTCGCTGCGAGGCAATCCAGAGCCTCCCTGCATTGTAATACAAGACTCGAAGTAATCTTACAGGCACTTAGTGCTTTCGTTGCAGCCTGGCTGTCGGATAAGATTGTTATTCTTCTCCTAGGCCCACCCTCCTCCAGAATGTGAGATACACAAGCCAGAATCGCAAAGATTTCCGCCTGGAAAATAGTGGTGTATCCACCGAGAGGCAGAGATAGCCTAGTTCTAGGCCCAGAGACCCCAGCACCTGAGCCCTCTTCGGTGACCGAGCCGTCCGTATACCAGACCTGCTCGCTCACTCCAGAGGGTCCCCGGCTACCGGCGTCCCACTCCTCCCTCGTTGGATACTCCGCAATAAACTAGCGGTTGAAGCGATATTTAGGGGTAATACGATCACCCCTGCTTCGAAGGACGGGGTCCTCCCTTTGCAATTCGACTAAGATGGCAGTATGCCCCTTGACAGGATTCAAGAAGGCCCAGTTGTCCTGACTACACAGTCGATGAGCGACTACTCTCGCTTCACCGCGGATCACCAGATCCAACGGTGGGAGATCCAACAGAGCTTCCATTGCACTCAATGGCGTTGTTCGCACTACGCTTGTAATACTAATACAGGCCAAACGCTGAATTTTATTGAGTTTGGCCTTAGTTGTCTCAGTTCTAATGCAGATGGACGTACTATCGTCGTGTAGAGCCAGTATACCACTTTGGGTTTAAGCCCCCACCTTACACCGACAACACGTCACTGACTGGGACAAAATTAATCTAGTCCCAAAGAAGGTCGGCATGACTAGCTCGTCAAGCCTTCTTCTCCTAGTGAATAGGATCAGCTCGGTCTTTTCAGCATTAACAGAAAGATCGACTTCCCTACACCACGATTCCACAGAGCGCAGAGCGCCCTGCCCAATTTCTGAGACTGTTCTACAAAAACGCCCCCTAACTACTATGCTTACGTCATCAGCATCCATACTGCTGAGCCTAACGAGGAAATCGTTCACCACGATACACCACAGTAGGGGTGACAGAACTCCGCCCTGAGGGCAGCCTCTAGCTACGCTCACGCTGCAGCTTACGTCATTCAGCATAGCTGTTGCTACCCGACCCTCCAGAGTAGATAGGACCCAATCTATTAGGATTGATCCAACGCCGTGTCTAACCAAGGCATGTCTGATAGAGTCGGTTGTGGTGCAAATGAGGAATTAGTCGACTTTGTTTTAGCGTTCGGAGAAGCAGGGCAAAATTCGCGAGCGGCTTCTCGTTTGTATGCACACCGATTTCCTAATAGGCACATACCACATCATGAAAAATTTAGCTCAATTGTTTTACGTGCACGTGCTAGTGGAGATTTGCGCCCAGGCGTGGACTGGATGAGGAAGAAAATCCGGGAATTAACTCAAGGCAGTTAGCCCAGAAGTGTCACATGCAACAGCGTGACAAAATATTACATGAGGCTCAACTATGCCCTTATCATGTCCAGAGAGTCCAGGCGTTGCTACCTACAGACTATCCTTAAGAGTAAGATTTTGTGAGTGGTTATTGCAATAAAATGCTCGAAATACCCGTTTTACAGCTGATATTTTGGCCACCGGTGAAGCTATTTTTACTCGTAATGGGATAACCAATCTTCATAATACACACGTTTCGTCCTTTGAGAACCCTCACGCAGTGGTCCAGACACACTTCCAACATCGTTTTTCTTTAAACGTGTGGGCAGGTATTGTCGATGAACGTCTAATTGGACGCTTCATATTGCCAGGTCGGACTGATGGTCACCAGTATTTGGAATTTCTTCAGAATAACTTGCCGGTCTTTCTTGAAGATGTGCCATTGGCGGTCCGAGCACTGACTTGGTTTCTGCACGATTTTTAATAAAGTAAACCAGATAAGGTGGATTGGAAGGGGTGGACCAATTTCATGGCCTCCACGGTCTCCCGATCTAAATCCTCTGGACTTCTTTTTATGGGGATACTTGAAAAACGAGGTATACCGTACTCCAGTTAAGAATATTGAAGAATTGCGTGACCGAATTACAGTGGCTGTCGATAATCTGATCCTTCAGGAACAGTAGGAAGGAGGTGTATTTGAATTGGGTTAGACGCGGCCAAGCTTGCATTGCAATCAATGGAAACAATTTTCAACAGCTTTTATAAGTAAGTGAACTGTTAAACTGTATTATTTTATTATCTTGGTATTTTTCGGACTTTTTTTGAGAAATCAGCTTCTTTCGTAACAGTGCATATGTGGTTAAAATTTGTCGGATAAGTTGTGAAACACCCTGTATAATCGTATCCGCAACAGAATTTCTAGCTATCATACAAGATTTATGTAAACGGAAGGCTAACCATAGCTCTTTCAGACGATAATCAACATACTACAAATCTTTCAATATCAACCAAACGTTTGTTCTTCTAGAATATTCGTTGAACAACTACAACCAGGCGAATACTCAACGTACTCAAACGCCAGCATATAGAGGCACCCCAGCACCCGTAGCTCAAACTACGGCTGTCAGGGAAGACACATCGAAACGCGGCAACACTGTCTACTTACAGCAGAACAGCTATCCTCAGGATACTTACCAACAGTCCACGGTTGCCGATTATAATGACAACAGATATGATACTCAGGTATATAATATTTAATATCCATGTCTTACTGATGAGTCATAACAAGCACAAAACAAGCACTGTGTACCACCACCGCATGCTCCTACGAAAAATTCCCTGAAAGCGCATACATTTTTTGAATGTATTTATTATATTCATAACTAAATACAGAATCAAAGATTGTGTTCGATTAAGCAAAACTAATATGCAATTTATTTTAATATCCCGTTTTAAATAAAACGATTTTGCGATAAATCCTGTGTACGAAACAAATAACTATCTGATAATTCAAAGCCTACCTAGAAAATTCTATTTTTTTAAATAACTTGGTTTGTCAAGGTTTGACATACTATATATGTTTAAAATCAGAATTAGAAACTATTTATCTGTGAAAAAAAATCAAAATTCGCACTATAAAATCAGGAAAAAATTAAAACGATTTGGAAAAATTGGTTTTTTCGTCTCTAAACGAAGGTAGAATTTATAAATTAATTTAAGTTAATTGAATACATATATTCGCTCCCATTCAAGCGATTTCGTATTTCTTACCGTTTCCCAGATCCCAACTGTGAGAGCCGAATTTTATGTATATTATATGCCCCAAAAAAAGTTTGCCAAGTTTGACAAAAACTATACGCTCTGTAAATAAAAGTTTCAACTCTAACAGCATGCTGTAATATTCTCATATACTGAAGTATTAAAATGGGACAGAGAAGCACAACACATCGTACGCCACTCCTAAAGGGGTAGGACAACATCTACTTCCGTAGCGTACGCTACTCTCTTCCAATGAGGTACTTAAGTATAGTTGTACCATTGCTGCTCGTAGGCGATATTTTTTTGTGTCGTGTTCAACTCTGACCACAAGGTGGTTCCAATTAAATCACATGCTTTTATGAATTCCTGTACCGTTTTTTTATCATTTTCAAATTTGATCATTCGTAGGTGACGGACGACCAAGCGATCTACAGGCAGTCAAACAGACAATCTCCTCCAAGGTATGTATATTATTTTTCATTTGAGTATATCAACATGAATTTCATGTAAATACGCAGTCTTAGGGATGACAGGAATGAATTAAACGATGTCGAGGATGACATACCAAAAAGAACGACCAACACGAGAAAACCGATCACGACAACCATCAGAACAACCACAACTACAACGACGACTCCACGCACCAATCCTTCTAAAAAGAGCACACAACCCTTGTCAAGGTACTACAAAAGCTATGGAGGAAAAACTTCGCTTGCATGAGTATATAATGCGTCGCCCAAAATACCGACATTTCTATTCTCGACTTTCATGTCATTCAACGTTGAATAACCACACCACTCAGAAAATTACAATTCATTGTCAGTATGCGATTTTTGGAAAATGCGCTAGGTATTAATGATTTGCACTAGCCGCCTCTTGAGAGTACCACATTGCTTCATAGATGGCACCAGCTTGGCTGACCTTATCAAAAAACTTTCCTGTTCACGATCAGCACAACGGAATAGTCAAATACCGCTAAGCCTGTATGCATTCCCGTTGTTGCGTAGACAAGCAACTAAATGCGATCTTTATACTCGGTTTTATTTTGTCTGTGACATCTTGCTCCAAAAGTAAAGTTCGTGGGCTATCTGAACAAGCACCTAGTTAGTCCAAATTTTGCAATTCAAACTGTTATTGTGTCATATACAGTAGAACCCGGAGTATCCGAATCGCGATTATCCGAAATCCGCTTTATCCAAAACAGATCGCAATAATTTCTCCGTTTGAACCGAAGTTGTTCGGGAAATCGGCGCATGGTCCGAAATAGCCGCCGGTAGTTCCCCTTTCGGCGTTTGCGTCATTAGATTCCCTGCCGGTGATACACCAAGCGCGTTTGCGGAATTCACTGGTATGTGTGCGTGTATGTTTGTTTCAGTCAGGTTCATAACCGCCAAGATGGAGCAGCATAGAAATAAACGTAAAAAGCATAGAACAGAAACTTGGGGCAATCAGACGTTTAGATAGAGGTGATATGCTTAAAAACGTGGCAAGTGATTTGGGTGTGGGCGTGAGTACCATTTCAGAATGCAGAAAACAACGCGAGAAAATTGAAAAGTGGTCTAGTGGATTACCAATTTCCGGACCAGTCAACTTGAGCGAAGAATTGCCGGTTATTAAGACCCCTAATAACTTTATAGCCAGTGATGGTTGGCTGCATAGATGGAAAAATGGAAAAAAGACTACGAGAATTAAAAGTTTGCGGAGAAAAGTTATCTGCCGATAAGTCCGCTGCATTAAAATTTGGAAAACATTTTAAAGGATGAATGAAGTAGTATGGTTTAAATCCAGAACAAATTTACAACTGCGACGAAACGGACCTAAACTATAAAATGTTACCGGCGAAAAGTTTAGCTTCAGAACAAGAATCTGGAGCTCCTGGTTACAAACGCAGTGAAGAACGTGTGACTATCCTTGCTTGTAGCAATGCTTCCGGTACACAGAAACTTCCTTTGTTGTAAATCGGAAAATCAGCTAACCCAAGAGCATTTAAACACGTCCGTCCCAACGCTCTTCCACTGTGGTATATAGTAAAAATCAAAAAATGCCTGGATGGATGCCGCTCTATTTAAGGACTGATTTTATAATCATTTTGTTCCCAAGACAGAGCGATATATATATCTCCGAGAAAATGTATTTTGCTATTAGACAATGCTCTGAGCCACACAAGTGAGGAGCAACTTAAAAATGGAGAAATACGAGTGATGTTCTTGCCTCACTGATTCAGCCAATGGATCAAGGAGTTTTAGAAAATTTAAAACGCAATTACAAGCGTTTGTTATTAGAGCAAATTTTAGATCAAGTTGATAATGGTTGTAAGAGAGACCACCTACGGACAATCACAACATCCATAATCAGGAGAAAAATTTCTCTTGGGACGGGATTCGAACCCGCGCAGCGCACGGCGCCCGAAGAGTCTACCACTGCGGCTACCGCTGTTGCCTGCTCATTTCCGATAAGTGGTTTTTTATTTTTTGCCAGGTTTACGCATAGATAGACTGTGCGAGTTCTATGATCCATAAGATCTAATGAATCTATTTCACCCTTCTGTATCCGGCAAATATGAATCGAAAACATTACAAAAAATCATGAATTCACTTATTAGGTAATATCTACCTATAACCAGAACCCAAAATTCGAGAATAGGAATAAAGTATTTTGGAGCACGTTTTGAATTTCTATTGCGAGCTTGGCTCATTTTTGTAGTATCTTCATGGCCTATATCATCTCACAAACTACCATACGTCATGCTACCATCTTTTCAAACTGACAAGTTGTAGTTTGACTTACTAATGATACCATACTAGAATGATGTTCGATGAACAACATAGCGCAAATACGCGACGAGAGAAAATTGGGTCTTGAAATTTTGGGGCATCCAAAAGGGTATCCCAAAAGTTACGCAACATTTTAATTAAATAGAAAGCAGAAATCTTCTTTGGACTGGACTTTTCTTGTTGAATCACATAGTATGCATGATAGGGTTACCTATGGAATGTGACAACAGGTAAATGACCTTTGTACTCTTTTATCAGCTGCCCCCCTGGAGATTATAAAAGAATGTAGTCAAAGCAAGTCTTAAGTTTTTGTCGATCACTTTATTGATAAAATCTGGTAAGTTCCAAAAATAATCTGTACACTCATTCATCGTGGACAAAAAATTCAAGGCAATTTTTTCCCAAATTGCACTATCCTTCTAATAAATATAATAACTTCATACATCATTTATACAAGAGCTCGTGGGGCTTTGCACATTGGATTTTGTACTGTTCTCATTACAATCATCATAAAGCTAAGACTTATGCTACAAGTGTAAAGTTACAATTTACCTACAATTCATACCTTTTCCATTCTCCGTATCAACTTGACCCCGGTGTGTTTAACATCGTCAATTAATACAGTCTTTCAGATTTTCTCGATTACTCTCTTCCCAGCGGACGAGTTAAATTAATATTCCTTCCTTCCATTATTTTTGAAATATTGTTCGACAATGAAAACACGTTGTTTTGTGTAATGCTCCATTTTTACTATACTCTAATCATATTAGACGAAACTACCCCTGGTTTGCGAAATAATTGTAAAGGCTGGTTTTATTGCTGCAAGTTGTCCAAGGGGGTATTCAAAACATGGACCCATAAAACGGATACACCAATTTTTGTAGAGACACTTTTTATTCGACAACAAAGAATCAGAAAACGTGTTTTTTATTTCTGAAGTGTTGGAAATAACGAAAAAACTCTTCATGTAAGATTTCTAGGCATTTATGCCCCACCACATTACGCATTACGTGTTCGACAATATTTAGATCAGACGTTTCCAGATCGATGGATTGGTAGAAGAGGTGCCATTGAATGGCCCCCAAGATCGCCAGATTTATCACCTTTGGATTTCTTTATGTGGGGTCATTTAAAAAGCAAAATCTATGCTACTCAGCCAACATCATTAAAAGACCTGCGACAAAGAATTGTGAATGAGTGCCTTCAAATTACTCCTCCAATATTGCAAAATGTGCGGCAACGTTTTGAGCAAAATCTTTATTATTGCATGGAGAGTCATGGTGGCCATTTTCAACATTTACTTGCCTAACGGGTCAGTTCATTCTTCATTTTTAAATTACTTTGTTGCCAAATGTATTGATCTCCACTAATGATGATGTATTAGTTTTATTTAAGCTTTAAATCAATAAATCTTCAAAACTACTGAACTGAAGTACATTAATTTTATATCATTATAAAGGGTATTGAAAGACCTTTACAATAAGGTATCACTCGACCCCCCTTTCCATTTAAGATTTTGGGGGTGGTGTGACCCTCGCTCAGGGGGCTACACGTGCTAACGTGATTTTTTGCCAAACTTGTGTCCCCCTCGAAAACAAAATCGACGGGTCTGAGCGTTTTTCCAAAAAAAACTGAGCTGCCAGTAAATGGGTCTGTTTCGTTTTCGATGATCCACCCATTGCTCGATAAACTAGTAATGATGGCCGGAAAACAGGTTTTTTGAAATAAACAATTAGAGATTCTCAAAAACTACTTGACCAATATACTCCATAACATTTTTGTTATTAGTCAGATCTTTATATGTGTGGTCTCATTTTGTAGGTATCATAAATACCTAAAAATCTTATATGAAAAGTTTGTTCGTTTCTGTCAACACTTTCGATTGAATCTCAAAAAACGCGTTTTCTCATTCTTTGTTGTCAAATAAAAAGTTTTTCCACAAAAATTGGTGTAACCATTTTATGCGTCCATGTTTTGAATACCCCCTTGAACAACTTGCATCAATAAAACCAGATACTTGCTAATATGATTAGGCTACTACTGTAATGTTTCTTTTGTTTTATTGCAAACACTATATACTGGCGCAAGGCAACAAATTCAAGTGTTGCGCAGATTTTGGGACACCTTTTGATTACCCAGGAGTTGTTCACCGAATATCGCTCTGATGAAGATGAGATTGCAGCCTCATACCAACTATTCTATATACTTTCGCTATGCAGAGCTTTCGATCATTAACCATATTACGGACATGTCATAAGAACTACTAAACAATTTATTTTCCTCGGATACAGGGTGTCCCAGAATAATATGTCAATTTCTCAAATGCATATAGAACAAAAAAATGTCTTTGAAAACATATTCTACGGGGCTTGCCTACTGAGAGACATTTTACAATTGTATTCGGTCCTTACGATTTTTCCTCGAGATTAGCGGCATCTTACTCTGGCGACGTGCAAATAACTTCAAATCATTTAATGGTCTACTTATAGTTTTCGTAGAAACACTGACAAGTCCTTTTGTCTCGATTTCGGATTTTATTTCTCTTGGGGTTCTAAACGGATCTTTGGACGAAATTACTTTTATTAATCTAACTGATCTAGCAATTGGTTTTCTAGGCCGACCACTTCTCTTAGAGACTTCCAAGATACCTTTTTGTTTATATTTGTTCAATATTGCCCAAACTGCTTTACGTTTCAGCTTCAAATTTTTGGCAATGTCGACTTGACGTTGACCATCTCTGTATAACTCAAAGATCTTAGTTTTCACATCGAAAGAAATTTCTGGACCACGCGGCATAGTCTTAAAATCACTCAACTTAGTCCACAATACTTGATGAACACAAACTAATCCTCTTCTGACACGAAACTGTACTAAACTGATGTTGAAAAGAATTTGTCTACATATTTTTGTCCCTCATAAAAAAGTGCTTATATTCAGACTTGTATTGTGTTCATTGCAGATAATGTAAAAACAAGGAATTTAGTTTTTCTACTAATAACGCATTTGTTTATGGAGCAATGAAGTATGAATTCGTTTTCCAAAGGGATTTAGGTAAATATTCATATATGTCTATATACTTTTGTATATAAATAACACTCAAAACATCAAATAAAAAACACGAAGTGTATAAACATGGAAACGAATTAAAATAACTACAAATTAACAAATTAAAATTGAACAATACATTCAAATAATTAAAAAAAAACTATCACACATTAAAAAGTCTTGTATAGAGTAGAAAGCTTTATCAAGTAAAATTTGACTGACTCTTTTTTTAAATAATATCAGCGGTAGTGATTTAAAGTCAATGGGTAGTCTGTTGAGTTTTATTGCAATGTACATATTTGGGACTCTCCTTTGTTCTAGACAACCTATATTCCGGCTATTCTGGCTTGCATAGTTTTAACAAGGTTTTCGCAGTCTTCCGCCTGAGTGGAGTAATTTTACTCGTAAATCAGAAATGTTTCGTTGTGTATCATTTCTTAACTGCTGCTTCATTTTGTGTCATACAGTTTCGATAATATTTAAATCAGGGCTACTGAAAGGCCAGTCAAGGACGGAAATATTATTATCCTGCAACCATTTTTTCGAGGTTTTGGCCGTATGACAGTACGGTCCGTTTTGCTGAAAAATTAAATTTTTATCAGATGATGACTTTGGAATTGGCACTAGCAAATTGGTTTCAAGGATATTTTGATATTTAGCTGCGTTTACAGATTTGTCAGTATGATATGCAAACGATATATTTCATTGTCTTGTTAAAGAAAAACAATTAATTTTTGACCTTACAAAAGTCAACAAACTTTTAGATAAAATTTGATAATGTCCAAACATTTTTGTGTTGTAGCTCGTAGAGCCAGTCTATCCCTAGCTATTTACATGAGTTGATTATTTTCCATGAACATCATCATGTGCTGGTTAGCAATTTGTCAAAATTTCTGTACGATTTCATTCGAGAGTTAAGAAAAACGATTCCCGGTAGCGTCCTTTAAGGGCCTGTATGACATCTTTTATAGAATCTTGTGAAGCTATATTTTTGTGTGTTATATATGCATACCAGAGATTGACATGTTATTATGGGATAACCTATATATTTATCCACCTGTTAATTTTTATCGTTTTCTGGCGGAACTTTTATTTATCTATCTGATGTATGGATGCTATGCTTTCTTACGTGTGCAGGAATATTTTAAGGGATAAAGGAATATTGACAAAATTTAGAGAACAAATACAAATAAGAATGTTATAATCCTCAAAAAGTCACTAATGCAGAGTATTGTGATTGTGGTTTAGTTCTTATGACTAATAATTCATTGAACAAAGCTGATTCGCTAAGGAATGGTAAATGCGGTGGTATGACCTACGATTGCTCTGTAACCTCATCTTATTCATCTGTGACATATCATCGGGGACTTACAGCTGGTATCCTTTCTTCTAGCGAGAATCTTGTCACAGCCAAAAAGCAACAGTTTAATAAAACTATATCGGAAGATTCCAGGCGAAACCTCGATATTCCCAATCCTCATAACACATCCACTGACAAACAAACTGAGTTCAGGATAAACGTTGACGACTCTGTCCCTGACGATAGTAGACAATACTTAAAACCAATCCCCTATCCAAACCCAACACCTACTACTCTGAAACCTATGTTTCACTACATTACTAAGGCACCTAAGTCAACTGACCATGTCTCTAACCATAGTGTGAATAGCTCTGATGCAAGTGTTCATAAAACTAGAGTGATAACCCCAACTACTTATTCTCCACCAAAATTCTTTCTTAAAGACATTCTACCAAAGTCACTTCAAAACCCCTCATTTGGTGTTGATACAAAAAACAGTGAAGATACGGCTCAGACAAGAGCATATAAGACCCTAAAAGCTGTCAGAAAGTTAATAAATCCTATTAATGTGAATCATGAATTAGCTAACATTGCTAGGCTTGCATCAAAATTCTTTTCCCAAAATGCCGATTCCCAAACATCACAATTTAATTTTGAAAACTCCGCTTCTTACGTACGTCCAAATGACCAAAGACAGACTAAAGAACACTTGCACAGCCCAGAATACACAACCAAAACATCCTTGACAACAAAAGACGATGACTACAAGCCATCATCTATCGAAAACAACACAAACTTAACATCTACTGAATCAGCTGGAAGATCAATGAACAGAGGACAACAGAAATACAGATATAGCGGGCCTACAAGATTGGTTATCGATATATCTCCAGAAGATGAAGTTGCAACGAGTAAGAGACAGCTAGTGCGGAGCAGAACACCAGCCTCCTCTACTGAAGATGGCACCTACGAAGTGTCTACAAACAGAGAACAGCAGAGTGATGAGTACTCAGTTGCTCCACCAAAACTTCTCATAGATATGTCTACAGAAGAACAAAAAAGTTACGAGTCATCTACAAACAAATATCTGTATAACAACGAAGTCTCTTCAACTTCTGCGCCATATGAAGATGACATCAAATATCCTAAACGTGTCAAGTTAGTTCGTACTAATAAGTTCACTACAGATTCCTCATATGAAAACGGGGACGAAATTTCTTCAAAGTCGAAACAACTGTACAATAATAGAATATTTTCCACAACAACGCCGAAAATGATAATAGATATGTCCACAGAAGACGATGAAGATTACATTCTTTCTTCGAAAGAAAGAAGACCAGATACATCTGAAAGCATTCTGGATTCATCGCTTGAGAACCACCAAACAGAAAAGACTGCTGATATTAAAATATCGACTGTTTCTCCTAAAACAACTCATGATCACAGAACCGGGCAACATGGAAAATTGTCAACGCTTCTACGTACAGTAATAGGCGCATCTGCTGAAGACAGTGGTGAACGCTACAAACAATTTAAAAACGCGCGGTTTCCACACAGTGAACAAACACCTCATGACACGCCTGCAGCTACAGAAGAAGTAGATGACTACACGTTGTCAAAACCGACTGTTACACAAAATCATAGGAAGTCGTTAACCGGGGATGTCTCGGATCGGTATAGATTCTCGAAACCTATCCTGTCTAACGGCAAAAATAACTATAGATTTACTGAAAAAGTGAAGCTCCCACAAAGATTAAGTGAAAAATACATATCTGAAGAACAAAGTCTCCCACTTCAAAAAGAACAGGATTATGATTACAAGGCATCGAGTACTGAGGAACAACCCCAGAGAAACATAGTTATGACCACTCCAACGCCAGAGAGTGATTACGACTACAGGTCATCCAGTACAGAACATATTTCCTTAACAGAATTTGACTATGATTACAAATCGTCGAGTACTGAAAACCTCTCAGACATGCCTCTATCTATCATGGAGATGAGTACTTCAACAGAAGACGAAAATGACTACAAACTATACAAAGAAGCACGACTTCTACAGATCAACAAGCTTACGACTGCATCACCGACTGTGACTACTATAAACAGCAAAACCTCATCAACTACTCAGATGACTGACGTTACGACTGAAATCAGCGAAACAAACGAAGTCAGTAACGAATACTTCAGTGATAGATCTGACTTGTCTCAAGAACTGGACAATTTCGTATCTGACGAACGTAACGATACAGTGAAACTGGTATATGACAACCCACCTCCAATTTTCAAACCAATAAAACCTATTCCTGTAACCAGCAAATCTGAGATCCCACAAAGCACCTCTCCTGCAAGGGTGTCCAGAGTAAATGCCGCTATTAAGTCTTTATTAGCAGTGGGGGGAAGAACCAAATGTCCAAACGACAGAAACCCCAAATGCAACGAAGTGAAATCGAGGTATTTATTCCTCATAGATGCAAAGTGCGAACTGCATGATCACCAATATTCCTTAATCTTTGCACAATTCTGTTAACTCCCCATAAACGCTTCATCGACAAAATTTAATAAGTGTACCTCCTCATGAGACTGGGAGTTGACTCTGGACCTTAATTTTCCCCACTACCCTGACATATCTCAACCGATCGCCTATATTACCGGATAAATTTTTGAGTATTTGTCATTTTTTCATACACCTGCTTTTTATTATTATTGTTATTAAGAAAATTGGAATATCGGTTTCATGATTTAGTCATTTCCTCGGTTTGTTGTTGAAAATAATTCAGTCGTACTTTTAGGCATCAAGTTTCATTTTAAAACATCCCACCACGGATTCATCGAAAACCACTGATTAAAAGAAAACACGCGACACCTCAAAACAATTGTCAAGGGGAAAACTTTTTAACCAACGACTACTTCCCCCCTTTCACCCTCTGCCCCGCAGGATCATCCCCTTAAAAATTTTAAATGACAAGGGGTATCGAGTAATAGCTCGTTAGAAAGGTCCTTTATTTTGACGTTTTCGAGAAAATTAGAAAAATCTTTATTTATTTTAATTGGTTCAAATAGAAAACAAAAACACATTGAAATATCACTTTTTATTTCAATAAGTGTTCAAAATGTGGCCCGTTAATGGCCAAAAAATGATATAGGCGATATTCAAATTTCTGACGGACATTTTGGGGAGTAAAAGCAATAGATTTCAAAGAACCCCATAGAAAAAGTCTAATGGCGTCAAATCAGGAGATCTACCAGGCGATTCTATAGGCCCTCTCCATTTATATGGAAACTTGTCGTCTAGCCATTGACGAACAGGAAGAACATACAGGGTTTGTCCGGAAAGTAATAGGATTCATTTCGCCATGACTGTACTTCGGAGCGCGCGCGCACCGACTGGATTCGTTAGAGGGCGTTCCTAGCTAACGAATGAGCGACGTGTTTCTGTGAGTGGTGCAAGCCGAAAATACAGCGTTCGTTAGAGCAGAGGTACGCGGTTAAATTCTGTGTGAAACTCGGTAAATCTGCGACAGAGACGTTTGATATGATCAAGCAGGCTTACCCAGGTATTGCTTAGCAAGAAGTGGTGTGTTTCGGTGGTACCAGGCCTTTTTGGAGGGCCGGAAAGAGGTGGCTGATGAACACCGTGCTGGAAGACCTTCGACTTCGACAAACACCGATAATGTGACTCGTGTGCGCAAAGTTTTGAACTCAGACCGTGGACTAAGTATTCGTTTAATTGCCCAGATGTTAAATTTACCAACATCTGTGGTTCATGACATTGTGACACAGCATTTGAACATGCGCAAGTTGTGCGCAAAGATGGTCCCAAAAGTGCTCACCGACGACCAGAAATTGCGGCGAGTGGAAGTGTGCCAAGAATATTTGAACATGTGTGAAAGTGAACCCCAATTTTTGAATAACGTAATCACAGGTGACGAGTCGTGGATCTTTGAGTATGAACCAGAGACAAAAAGGCGATCTTCCGAGTGGCTCACTATGGCGTCTCCTCGCCCAAAAAGGGAAGAATGGGCAAATCCAAAGTGAAAACGATGCTCATTGTCTGTTTTGACATCCAAGGCATCGTCCACCATGAATTTGTTCCTCCTGGACAAACCGTCAACGCCAAGTTTTACGTGGAAGTGCTCAGGAGACTTAAATGAAGGGTCAGTCGGGACCGACAAGACATCGCAGCCGACTGGAAGTTGCACCACGACAACGCCCCGGCTCACACCGCCTTTCTTGTGAACAGCTACCTGACCCAGGCCGGCATCCCAACGCTTCCGCAGCCGCCCTACAGCCCAGATGTGGCCCCTTCGAACTTTTTTTATTTCCTTGCCTGAAAAGGCCGATGAAAGGCAAACATTTTGAGACGACAGAGGGGATCCAAGCAACATGCACCGCGGCTCTCAAGACTATTCCGGAGAATGCCTTCCGTGACGCCTTCAATGCTTGGAAATCGCGCTTGCAGCGCTGCATCGACGCAGAAGGAGCCTATTTTGAAAGTTTGTAAAGAATTGTAACGATTGGCTCAATAAATTTTTTTAAATCGACTTAGTCCTATTACTTTACGGACAAACCCTGTACTTTGTTATTCAAAATTTTTAAGGGAATGACCCTGGGGGGCCGAGGGTGAAAGAGGGTGAGCAGTTTCTGGTTAAAAAGTTGTCCTCCTTGAGAAATCTTTTGACGTGTTTCGGCGTTGTTTCTTTTAATTAGTGGTTTTCGATAAATCCGTGGTGGGAAGTGAACATCCTGTATAGCCATTAGGTACATGCAAAACTACAGGCTCAACATACGGTAATACAACTGAAATAAAAGTGTATTTGTTACGTTTTAATAATTGTTGTTCTCTGGGCTCGAAATCAAACAAAGCGGCAGCGGGTCATTTTCAATGGTTTTGGCATGGTTTATTTGCCCCTGACCAAAAAATATTTTCATTTTGAACCGTGAGGTTAAACGGAACATGGAGTTTTTCTGGGACATATGTGCTATAACACTCGGTATAGGCAGCACAATACAGAGGTCAGTCTGATTTTTGCAAGTTCCATCTTTGCTTTTATAAGTTGTAACGTAATGTGATTTATGTACCATGATATACAGAGCGATCGAATTCTGGCACCAAAAATAAGTCCCAAACACCGATAATTGAAAATACTATCAGGCCTTCCGTAGAAGAATTTTGGACCTATAAGAACTGTAAACACTCATATATTAACCGATAGAAGATCACTCTAGATGCCATGATACAGCTCTTTTTCCATCAAGCTTCATGGTCCAAAGATATTGTTACTTGACGCGATTTTTTACATACCAGCTACATCTTTAAAAGCAAAATTCATTGATGGCCGCGAGGCAAATGAACAACGCCAAAATTACCCATTGCCTTTTTGATGGAATATGTTTCATTAAGTACTGGAGCATGAAAGTGATGAACAACAACGTTAAGTTTCATGGGGAGGGGGAAAGGGTAACTAAAAATCAGCATGAAAGATGTACAACTAACTGATACATGATCCAATCAATAACTCATTTTTATACAGAATTTTCTAATAAAACATACCGAATTGGCCCTACACTAGCACTAGCACCTGAAACAGAACAGTTACGTTAATCTCGTCGATGTAATAAAATTATTTATTATGGCTATTTTGCGAAACATTACACCGACTGAGAGTCAGTCTATGACTATAAAAATATCTCGAAGTGAAAAAAAGATTGTCAAGTACCTACAAGTACATAGTTCACTGTTCTGCACTCTAGCAATAAAACTATAAGCTCGGTGGTTATGAGAAAATCACGCATCCAAAGAGATTACAATTTAGACTAGACGACATCAGTGGCAGGTTTCAACAAGAAGTTAAGACAAAAATGTTCGGAATGTGTAAAAAAATAGTGCGTAACTGAAATCCTTGTTCTTTGCAAACAACAACAAACGTTCATGACGCATAGACCGCTTAAAAGCACAAGAGTCATCATCGCACGAGGTTGGTGCTCTTTGAGGAGACTTTCAGAAACTTAAATGAGGATTAGCAGATTAAACTCAATCTACAGATGTTTGGTTTTCAGATAATAACCCACTATGACTTAACCACACGAAAATCTGAAAACCTTGTACACCAAAAACTAAATCATAGGTTCAGCAAAAGGAAAAGCAAATCAAGCCAGCAAGTTATTTTTCATGGACTTAAACTTACCTGACTTCGATACCCTTATGGCTCTGTTTACATCGTTGGAAGGTTTTGACACAAAATATTTATCGTTTTTTCTATGACGAAATCTATTTTAACACTAAGTAGTTATCATAAATTACAAATCAATATTTAACTAAACTATACTATCGAATTATGTTGAGTGGCCCATTCTGCTCTACAAGACGCAACTTTCTTAGAATGTCTCTCATGAGGTCGTGGACGGATTTCAGATCAATTTCTCTCAGTTTTTCGTAAATCCGCCGACTTAATTATTCTTTATCTTGGCTTCCCAGCCTCCATGATAAACCTTCTTTGACATTAAAACCCAAACATCCTTTACTGGGCGAGCCTGTGGCAAGTTTGGAGGATTATCGTTTTTGGAAATAAATGGTATGTTGTGTTGTCGAAGCCAGTTTTGGGTATCTCTTGAGTAATGGCATGATACCTACTAGGTCTGGCCAAAACATGATATTTGCATTAGCATGATGTTCGTGGACAAACTGAAGCAATTTGGAAAGGCAGTTGTCAATATATATTCAAACCTTCACCCCTCACTCTTCCCACAAAAGGTTGCGATACACCCCTGTTAGAAATTGCGCACCAGACAAGGATTTTATCTGCAAATTTTGCTTTATGTTTGTATCTAACATTGTCAGGGCATTCCTCTGTTCGTAGAAAATCCGTCGTTTCAAAACATTGATGCTGTTCATCACTACCTGCAATCCGCCGTGCTTTTCTTGGCGGAGACAAAAATCTCAGAGTCTGCACCGATCAACCATCTCAACTTCCAAAGCTACGGGGTGCACTCCAATCTGAGAAAGAACGGGGAAATTGTGGCTTTTGTCCGCAGCAGTCTTTCCTGCTCCAGAGATGTTTCTTTGGAATCAGACCGGAAGGACATTCTGTGGCTTCGCCTCAACTCCAAAACGTCACCCAAATTTATTTGCTGCCTGTATCGCTCTCCCTCGGACTATAACTGGGATGACCTACTCGAATACCTCGCCGTCCAGATCGACTTCCTTAACATCAATCACCCCGCTTCAGAGGTAGTTCTTCTCGGTGATTTCAATGCCCATAATGAGCTTTGGTTGGGCTCAAGCAAGACCGGTGCAGCAGGTCCTGCAATCGAAGCGTTCGCTCTTACTCAAGGGCTGACCCAGCTGGTGACAAGCCCTACTTTTTCCCCCGCGTCTCGTCACACGCCACTAGCCTGCTGGATCTCTTTCTGACCACGCATCCTGTCCCTTACAGCACTGCTGTCCTGTTCCCCCTGGGTAACTCAGACCTCGGTGTTGTGGAGCTTAGGTTTCGGTCAGAACCCGCTGTGGCAGCAGAAACCCGTACAGGCCGCAAAACTTGGCATTACGGACATGCCGACTGGAAGGGGCTCAGAGACTTCTTCTCTAGCTTTTCTTGGAAAGATGTCTGTTTCACTGACGCGGATGCGTCGGATGTCTGTTCTTCGATAACCGAAATTATCCACGTCGGAATGGAGGAATACATCCCAACGGTTGGTTTAACAAATCGTGTGACGCTGCTCGCCAGCAGAAGATCAAGTCACACAGAACCTTCTGACAAAACCCCACTGTAGAGAACAGACAAGCCGACGTTGAGTCCAGAAACAAATATAAAGAAGCGGTTCGCAATGCCAAAAACCAGCACGGTATAAAAGTTAGGCACAGGGTAATGTCGCAGCGCAATGGCAGTCGGTGTTTCTGGACGCTGGCCAAGCAGATTGAAAAAACTTGTCACACAGTAGCCTTCCACCACTTACTTGTCCGGATGGAACTATTGTATTCAACTGAAAGGCCAAGGCAGAAGTGCTAGCCAAGATCTTTGCTACCAACTCCACCATAGACGTCCCCCCAACGCCCAAGTGCCTTCAATTCAAAGGGTTCCCTACACTATGCGGAGGTAACATTCAGGCATAAGACCGTAAGACGAGTGCTCTTATCGCTCGACATCAAAGCTTCTGGTCCGGACTTGATTCCTGCCATTGTACTGAAGAGGTGTGCAGCGGAGCTTGCTCCAGTTCTTTCGCGTCTCTTCCATATATCTTATGAATCCGGCACCTTCCCAGAAAACTGCAAATTTGCTCATGTCCAACCCATCCCAAAAAAGGGATCTAAGACCGACCCTTACAACTACAGGCCTATAGCTCTGCTTTCTGTTTTAAGTAAGGTGATGGAGAGGTGCATAACTCGCGAGCTTCTGGACAACCTCGAAAGTCACAGCTTGATTAGCGACAGGCAGTATGGTTTCCGGCACCAACGATCCACAGGGGACCTCCTAGCTTACAACACTCAATTGTGGAGTAAACTCATCCAGACTTGGTGAGGCTCATGTCGTTGCTCTTGACATCACGAGGACCTGATCTGGCACGAAAAACCTCCGCATGACCTTCTCACTCTATACCAGGTCCAGATAAGGCCTAGCCTCGAGTACTGTTCACACGTTTGGGGTGCTGCCGCCCCGACTATATTATCCATGCTCGATGCTGTCCAGAGGAGGGCGATCCGACTGATCGATGACTCTTCTCTAATAGACAGTTTCGGGACTCTTTCGCACCGACGGGCTGTGGGCAATCTAGCTCTTTTCTACCGTTACACCAACGGGCTTTGCTCCTCAGAGCTCTCTTCCATGATGCCGCCGTGCGATGTGCCTGCCAGACAGACTCGCCTGACTTTGGCGTCCCATCCTAACCGTTTCGAACTTTGTACATCCAGAACTGGCCGATACGACCGCTCCTTTGTTCCGACGGCGTCGAGATTGTGGAACAATCTACAAGGGAAAGCTTTTCCCAGTTCAACTAACCTTAGGCAGTTCAAAAATCGTATTAACAAAATTTCTTTGAGATCATCATAGCAGCTGCGATGTTCCGGCATTTAGGCTTCTGCCTGCGCGGCTGCTTCGATATAAAAAAAATGGTATCCCCTGCTCGCACTCTGCTATTGTTCGATAAATGGTTCTGCGCGAAATGTTTTCATTCTGGAATATTCGACAAGTTTCAGCTTGTAGATACTTTTTCTTATTGCTAATTTATACGACATCTTAAAGCGAAAACAAAATAAGTAAATGTCAACTGACACCAACGTAGGTAAACAAAATTTTGTTTCCAAAGGCAACTTGATATTATTTGTTAAAATTAAAGCCAATTAATTTTGTGCCAAAACTTTCAGGATATACGTTATTCTCTGTAATGGATCAAATTGCAGCTATAAAACTGGATCTTACTAGATGATTTAGTTGTAACCGATATGGTAACTTGCTAGCTTAGTTTGCTTTGCTCCAAGGCTTGTAACCCTACCCTAAACCAGACCCGTCATCAGGTAATATTAATCCGTAGATGAGAATAACCACGACTGCGGAGAAGGTGCATGTAATAACCAAGCAATAACAATAACAACTGTACTCACAAAATCAATGTTATTGTGTCTAATTTACTTTTTCTTTTTAGAACTAACAATAGAGGACGTGGTAGCGCACACTACGGAGGCGCTGGAACTCAAATAACTAACAATGAAGTTACTTTTAATACTAATAGAGGAACTCCAGCTCCGTAAGTTCGATATTTCAGCCGTAGTCTATGAATGACGTAGTCAAGTACCCGATGGAAGTGAGTGTGGTAACGCATCATACGCCACTGTTCGCGTAGTGTAGCTTTGAGTACACACTCGTACACCAAGGCACACAACCTTAGCAGTGGCGTACGATCAGCTATACCATTATCATCGATTTGGATCTAGACTATAGTCAAACTATTCTGGTTGTGTTTTAAGATGTCTTCCATTCATCAAAGATAATACAAATCTCGAAAAATACAGAGTGGAATCTTTCAGAAAGACGATGCTATAATTTTATAACTGGCAGTCATATCTGACCAAAAGTATCATATGGATTTCGTAGTTTTGCAGTGTTTTAGGCATTTTTTAAGTTTATAGAAGCTCCTGATTACAGCAAAAATAACTAATATTTGACGACTCAATGTTTTTTTTTATCAAAATTACGTAATAAATTGCTTCCTTCCCATTCACAAATATAATTTCGATGAAACACTTGAAAAAGAACAGTAACGCTTCAAAAAAATACAATTTTTAGAAATATATTTTTGTTAGACCACAAGGTGACCTGATTTTGCTGGTAATGATTTTTTGCTTCGTAAAAAATAAAACTGTTACACACATTACAACAAAAACATACACATGCCCATATTAAAATGCAACTGTTGAACTTCCTTACTAATTAAGTTTAATGGTCTTGCTTCAAAAAGATATGAGACTGATTTTCTTAATGTCAGCATTGCAATGCAGTTTGACAATGTACTTTTTAGATCAATAAGGTTTTTTCAAAACTTTTCCTAGGTTAGTCAGTATTATAGCATCAATGCTGCCATCCTAGACTTACCATTTACGTCACTAACGACTATGATCTATGACCGTAATTATGTTCGTTAATTTCAGTCGATCCAGGCCGACATTAAAACCAACGACGTCTATTGTTTCAAAATCTCAAGAGTATGTAGATATCTATAGATATCCACCAAGACGTCCTAGTCCGATTTACCCTCAGCCACAACCTGACAAAACAGCAGCTAAGTGTAGAAAAGATGTTTGCTTACTGCCTGACTGTTCATGCGGTGGAAGAGACATTCCTGGTAAGTATAGGATTTGCGATTATAAACTGTACGGCTAGAAGGCATCACAAGGTGTTTTTCCTATGCACCGACTTGAAAAGGCACTTAAGCTGTGTCAAAACCAAGATATCAGACAACGAAATTTAAATACTTATATCGGAAATTATATTGAAATTTGCAATCCGAAAAAATCCACAAACGAGGGTATCTACAAGAAGCATTTATTTGAAAATAATGTTGGAATACTAATATTAAATGTAATGCATTTTGTGATTAAGACTAACCAAACTGTAGAAATAGATGGTTAACTAGTTTGAGGATAATTTTTGTAAGTCTTTACTGTGAAAGAAGTACTTTTTGATATATGATCATATTTTCTTAGTCCATAAACGAGTCTACAGCAAGAATTTTGATCTTTCTGTAGACGAATATATTAAGTCACAGTAATGTATTGTGGGCATGACCAATGATTCGGACAAGGTGTTCTAAACATTAGCACCAAGAACGTGTTTGTTCGCATATAATATTTTTAATTTTGAATCAATCATCAAACGTTACCCCCAGAGCCTTTAATTTAACTGTGAATTCTAAATTGCCGTTTAATATGATTTTGTTAAGATTTAACTTTATGTGATTATAATACCTTTTTTGAGAAAAGAACATTGAATTACTCTTACTTTATTGACAGATTGTGGTCAGTAGCATATATGACAACACTCTTTCTATCTTTATTTATCAAATTTGTAGTAGCTGATAATTTTTCTGGATTAATGTAAATCATCTGCATAAGCAGACGTGTAACAGTGTGACAAAACAGTCTGAAAATCGGCAGTTTAAATTGTGAAAAGTAGAGGCCCCATAATTGAGCCCTGGGGAACTCCTGATACAGTTTGTTTATTCTCCGATATATCACTCTCAATTTTGACATTCTGAAAACGATTGGATAGGTATGACTTGAACAAATTTTGAAAGATATGAAACATATTTATCATTTCGTTGTGAAGGAGCATGGAAGCTCCGTGAATTAGAACACAGAAGGCAAGACATATAAACATTATGGTGAAAAGCCCAAAGCTTCTAATAAGCCCCTAAAGCTTCTCTGTTCAAAGCGCTTTTTTATAGAAAAATTTAATATTAAGATTCAAGAATAGCATATACATTCTGACTAATTTCAAACTTCAAAAAATCTAAGTTCATCGATCAGATCTTGAAATAATATCGGTAACCAGGAATTTATACTAACCACTGACCGATATAAGCACTGACAACAAGATATACCATCAAGATTCACATACTCTAAAAACGTCGATCAAGATTTTTATGCGCAATATGCACATCGTGCAAATCCATTTCAACAGGTTAAAATCAGAAGACAAATTTGTTGTCTCCGTCTGCCATTTACGATAATGTACCGTGTGTAAGGTCTTTCAGACTTGAGTTTTGAAATTGCAATAAAGTTTATTTTTTCGTGATCTTTTATTAATCTATAGGAGACATCCCAGTCGAGGAGACCCCACAGATGGTACTAATGACCTTTGATGATGCAGTAAATGATTTAAATAAAAACTATTACATTGATTTGTTTGAAAACAATCGCAAGAATCCAAACGGCTGTCCAATAGCCGCTACATTTTATGTATCCCATGAATGGACTGATTACAGCCAAGTGCAAAATCTCTACGCAGATGGCCACGAGATGGCGTCGCATACAGTCTCGTAAGTTCTGGAGGGACTGGTGCTATCATCTATATGTCTATGTCTGTCTTTTTTGTCTCAGCTGTATGCCAAATATACTAAACGCAATAATACATTATTATCTAGAAAACTGATATGTTCACCTTATTTCAAACAGGTTACATAATGCATATATCACCACGAATACACATTCCACTCAAACAAGTAACACCTAACAGTGGTGTCATTTTCACTCCCTATAGCTTTATTCCAGCACAATCTTTTATTCATTTTAGGAATGTAACGAGTGTTTTTTTAGACGTATAGAACTTTAAATTGCAATAAAACAACGATGGATTATTCGATTGACATGAATTTTTTAGTCGAAAGATAATCTTGCGGCATTACATTTTAAATATGATTTCTGGCATATGACTGCCACGGCTGGCTCGGATGTAGTCCAATATGGACGTCTAATTTTCGATGACTTTTTCCAACATTTGTGGCCGTATATCGGCAATAACATGGCGAATATTGTCTTCCAAATGGTCAAGCGTTTGTGGCTTATCCGCATAGACCAATGACTTTACATAGCACCACAGAAAATAGTCTAGCGGTGTTAAATCACAAGATCTTGGAGGCCAATTCACAGGTCCAAAAAGTGAAATTAGGCAGTTACCAAACGGGTCTTTCAATAAATCGATTGTAGCACGAGCTATGTGACATATTGCGCCGTCCTGTTGGAACCACAGCTCCTGGACATCATGATTGTTCAATTCAGGAATGAAAAAGTTAGTAATCATGGCTCTATACCGATCACCATTGACTGTAACGTCCTAGCCATCATCGTTTTTGAAGAAGTACGGACCAATGATTCCACCAGCCCATAAAGCTCACCAAACAGTCAGTTTTTCTGGATGTAACGGTGTTTCGACATAGACTTGACGATTAGCTTAACTCCAAATGCGGCAGTTTTGTTTGTTCACGTGGCCATTCAACCAGAAGTGCGCTTCATCGCTAAACAAAATTCGCTTATGAAAATCGGGAAAAACGGCAATCTCGTTTTGGGCTCATTCAACGAATCTACGCCTTGCTTGATGATCGTTTGGCTTCAATTCTTGTACGAGTTGGATTTTGTAAGCACGCAAACCAAGATCCTTCCGCAAAATCTTCCATAAAGTGGATGGACACAGATCCAATTCTTGAGCTCGATGTCGGATGGACTCATTCGGGTCTTCCTCAATGCTACGCTCTACAGTAGCAATAGCTCTTCTGTACGCACCGTACGGCGTCTCTGGGGATGCGAGTTATCAATTAGAGTAAACGTGGTGCGAAAACGTTCCATGGTTAATCGAATTAACTGCTCTGATGGACGATTTTGTCGACGATAGAATGGACGTAGTGCGCGATACGTATTCTGCACAGAACCATTATTTTCGAAATAAAACTGCACAATTTGCAAGCGTTGTTCAGGCGTGAGTCTATTCATGAAGAATTGCCAAACCAAACTGAGAATAAATCACTTGACAGCTGTCAAATCGGTCGCCATCTTCAAAAGTTATTCCACCTTAAAGTTCTATACCTCGAAAAAAGAACACCCGTTATATTTCTTTCTCGGAACATCTAGTGACACGGATGGGGCAAGATGGTACCGGAGTAAAGTTTATTTACTTTAAGGGTTGTGGTGATTCGAGCGAAATCGGGGATACTACAAAGCTTTAGTCGAGATGAGGACTTCCCATAATGAAAATGGAAAACAGCAGTACAATACAAATACATAAAAATCCAATTATCTTAAATTTATTATTCAAAAATGTTTTTATACTTCCCATCACGAAGGCCTAACGCATAAATTCACGTGGGTATCGTTGGGTTATAGACGGATACAAAAAAAATGTTTGGGGAGAGAGGGGGGGGGGCGAGAGAACATATATGTGCACGCGACATGCCAGTGTTGCCACAGGTGGCTTGATAACGCTGGATCTGGCCTTTTTTAAGGCGTAGCAGCCCCTTGGCTCCTCTTTCTAAAATCCGGCCGATTTTTCACTAATACATAAATAAAACTTAATGCAAGTTAGCGTACACTGGACATTAAGGTTTCCAACTTGTAAGACTTGGGCTTACTAAACAAACGTACTCATTTTCAACCATATTTGGATAAAATTCCCATAGAAATTTTGGTCAAAACTGACATTTTTGACTTAAAGCGCTGCAATTCCCTGAATTCAACCATAGTAACAAGTACATTACAAGCAAGTATATAGGTAAATTAGACTAAATTTTACATCTGAAATTGAGTAGTTCAAGAGTTGGCTCGAATTCCAAAAATCTTGTCCATTTTATACGTAGAAGCTGGCCCGAAATTCTCAGAGCCTGTGGCCACTGCGACATGCACACATTCTGGCTCCTACGGACAATCAAAACATTGACTCTCCCAATTTCTTTTTAGAACATATCTTTCAATCAACAAGTTAATTCCTAATAAAACACCAAAGATGCTTGGACATCGGACATTAATAAAATAAAAAGGAACACGAGATGCTGGAACGAATATTTTGAAATACGCATGCGCGTTTAGTTCTGAACGTGTTTCCCGCTTGTGCTGGAACAAAGCTTACGTTTGAGTACATAGTCAACTACCAAAATAGAAGAGAATAGCGTAGCACATCGCACGACACTGTTCCGCGCACAGGTACAGAAAGCAGTGTCGTATCACAAGTTAAATTACTCTCTTCAATTTCGGTACTTGACTATATGGTATTTGTGATATATGTTATATGTTCCATATTTATTGTGTTTGGTGTATCACTTATACTTATGATCTATTTCTTTCTCTGTGCTACTAACAAATAGGAGACCTACCAGTCGAGCAGGTGCCGCAAATCGTATTGCTCACGTTTGACGATTCAGTAAATGATTTGAACAAAGGTCTGTACCAAGACCTGTTCGAAAGAGATCGAGTGAATCCAAATGGTTGTCCTATTGCTGCTACGTTCTATGTGTCCCATGAATGGACCGATTATAGCCAGGTGCAAAACTTATATGCGGACGGCCATGAAATTGCCTCTCACACCGTGTCGTAAGTCTACAGAACACTGGCAACACCGCACCGTATCATCAAAATGCACTACTTAACCCTTTTTGGTAGACTACACAACTTCATGCTTAACCACTTATTTAACTTTATACTTTCACATATTCAATAACATTCCATGAAAGATGTTGACACTTGAGCGATGGACAAACCTTCCTACGTACCATACTTTCAAGAAACCAAGAAAGTATTACCCATATTATCACAGCTGATCAGGAACTTCTAAAATCTGGTTTGATTTTACCTACATGAAATATACTGAGTGACAAAAAAAGGTAAACCCTTACGTATGTTTATCCGATTTTAATAATTTTTGGCATATATGTTCAGTGTCCCTTACTAGTAAAATGAATAAATTTTCAGCTTGATTCGTCAACTGGCTGCAGAAGCTGGTTCAATAATGTGTTGAGGATCCACGATTTCTTATACACTCATTGAGAGGCCTGGGCATGGTGCTGATAAGGTGGTCGATATCCTGTAAGGGTATCTCATTCCAGGCTACTGCAACTTCGTGAGTCAGAGCTGCTAAAGTATGTGGAGGATGTTGCATCTATCATGTCCCAGACATGTTCAATTGGAGATAGGTCAGGCGATCGTGGTGGCCAAGGTGAACGATGCGATGTTGATCCATGAAGGCTAACGATGCTCTGGCAACATGCGTTCTGGCACTGTCTTGCTGAATAATCGGGTTGCGGATGGTGTTTAGGTATGGAATAAGATGAGGCTCCACTACTTCCTGAATATAGGTTCGGGCTGTCATATATTGTCTCTGATGAAAATTAGTGATGATCTGCTAGCATAAGCAATAGCACCCCATACCATAACTCCTACGTTGTGGTCAACGTGATGCTCTCTGTCAAATTGTGGCTCAAGTCTCTCAATACAGAAGCAGGATTCGTCACTGAAGACCAACTGATTCCAGTCTAGGTCTCATAGAATTATTTCTCTACACCACAGCAAACGTTTACGCCGATATTCAGCTGTGAAAGGTAGCACCCAATATGGGCGATATGAAAAAAGGCCAAACTGTCCTATTAGGTGATATACCGTACGCATACCAACTTACCAACCATCCTTCCATGCTCTTCAAACCTCTGATTATTTAGCGATGGCTCGAGTACTTCTGAATCTGTCTCTTAGAGACAGAAGTATAAAGGCCCATTCATACTCAGCCGTGAAGTGAGTGCTGTGACCGACTCGTGATCCGCCCGGCGAAACTAAAAACTTTCTTCCTGGGATTTGGATGAACTGATTCACACAGGACCGGCACCTGGAAGTGGCTCGACGACTCCGTACCGTGATCATCGCATTGTTTTGAAACGATATTTTTCGATTTTCATGGCCATGTTTTTATGTAATTGCGTGAATATTTTGATATATTTGTCAAAAACATGAATGATGAAAAACTAATGTGTGCGCGCACATCCCGTGCTGTAGAACAAGTCAAATTCAAAATACATGAACTTCTGTTTTCTTCTCGTTTCTTTTTCTTCATCTTCCGTAGGTGGTAGACGGTCTCTGACTGTCGAACGCGGAGGTACCACCCGGCGGATCTCGAAAGCGGGGCCAGAATGTGTGCATGTTGCATGTGTCCCTCGCCAGAGTCCGTGTGGCGTTCCCCCTTTCCCCTGTAAAAAAATCCAGAATTAATGCAATAATTGCAAGTTCATCCTCTGAAAATTTTGACACCTCGACATCACGTGATCACAACTGCACTGTCAGAGCACGGAGAAAATACTGACAGGTGTGAATTGAAAACACTGTGAGCTCACGTCAGCGGGAATCACTAGCACGTCACGGCACTGTCACGTCACGGCCGAGTGTGAATGGACCTTTAACCGGCGGTCTTGTCGCTCTGTGGTCCCAAGCAATACACGCAGCATCACAAAAACCTGACCATTTTATCACTTGTCGTTCATGGCAAGATAAATCGATATGTAAAAAATCCTTGAATTCTAATAAACATACGTAGGTGTTTGCCTTTTTTTGTCACTGAGTATACATATTCAGAACATATTCTTTTAGAATAATTTAACGCTTTTATTCATTTTCACTTATATTGGTAAACCCATAACACCGTTATTAGGTTTGTCCATCAATGCTGATAAGATGACTAGAACCACGTTGCTATTACCTTTCACTTCCCACGCCACTGGCGAAAGATTTCGAAAATGAGATATTACGTTATTTATATATGAACTTTCTGTCTGTCTGTCTGTCTGTTAGTCCTTGATTCGTCTATAGCTTGGAAGCTGCCGCTTAGATTTTGATGAAATTTTCACACAAGGTTAATGCTACGCCAACAACAAAAAAGCTTCGGTCCAGTGGTGGCGAAGCTAAGGGCAAAAATGGAAAAAATAAAAATAGCTCTAATCATTTTTTTACGAGTAGAATGACTTTCGGTATAATTCGTTCGATACAGTAGTTTCGTCATAGCTGTGGCAGCTGTGCGTTTCGATCACATCCTGCATCAGGCTTACTCATAGCCATTCCGAAAGATATGCTTGTCAAATGGTTGGGAACTGGGGACGAACTGGTATAGGTCTATTTGACTGATTTGATGTATTCAATTCATTCGTCATACATGTTCGTAGTTGACTTTTTTCTTAAAGAGGAAATCTTATGCCAAACATAATTAGCGTTGCTTGGGAACTGCAGAATCAACTCACATAACGTCATTTTAATATAATCTATAACAAGTAAAGGGTTTAGTAGTTTCAGAATTCAAAAGACGATGACTGGGCACGTATTTCATATCAAAAGCCTTAATTGTCCCATTTTTCATAACAGTGAGACAAACATACGTAAAATAGATACAGAGCTTCGTGGTTCTCTCATCGTTCAGCAAATTTTGGTGTTCACCAGTTCACTGCATGAAACTACACCTCTATACCTATACAGGCACAGTTTTGGCGAGCAGTTCTCGCAGAAGAAATGGACCAGAGAAGTAGCTGGACAACGAGAAATCCTTTCAGCTTACGGAGGAGTTAAACTTGAAGACGTCAGAGGCATGCGAGCTCCGTTCTTGTCCGTCGGTGGAAACAAGATGTTCAAAATGTTGTACGATTCCAACTTCACGTACGACTCATCCATGCCCATATATGAGAACAAACCTCCTAGTTGGCCTTATACCTTGGATTACAAACTGTTCCACGATTGCATGATCCCACCATGTCCTACAAGATCGTATCCAGGTGTCTGGGAGGTACCTATGGTGATGTGGCAAGACTTGAACGGAGGACGTTGCTCAATGGGTGACGCTTGTAGTAATCCACCAGATTCTGAAGGGGTTTACAAGATGTTGATGAAGAACTTCCAGAGGCATTACACCACCAACAGGTACTCAAAACTTGACTGCACTTTCTGCCTTCATGTCTCACGCACGAATCGTTGTTCTTGAATGCTACTTGCAGTATTTCTCAACTTAAGGGGTCTTATACAAGAAGAGTTATTCACAAACTCATTTTTTTATATAGATTCCCTTTTTTCTCTATGTAAACTTCGGAAACCAGATTTTTCAATTTTTACTGGATGCTTGGAATACAGTATATAGAATAATCCTACCTATTAATCATGTACCCTTTTTGACTTTCAATTGTTTTTAATTCCTTTTTCTATTTTAAAATATACAGGGTGTAAAGTTAGTAGTGAATCAACGGAAGTCAGGTGATGAAGGGCCTCAGAGCCTATCGAAATCACAGCCCTAAACCTAATGGTTTAGTTGTAATTGCGATTGAAAGTTCATTATACCGTTTTTTTTCGAAATTTCACAAAATTGCAAATATCTCCTGAACTATAAAATTTCGGACCACACATATAGGGGTTCGTTCGATAAGTTTTGATGCTCTCTATCACCTGACTCCCGTAGATCCATTACTAACTTTACACCCTGTATAAGCTAGTACTCATTAGACTCATTAAACTGAACAGAAAAGTTCATGTGAACTTATCTACTTTGCGGCATCGTTATTGAAATACAGGGTATTCAAGCTCATTTCTTTTAATTTATGCATCTTTAATTTCTTGTTAAATAACTGTAGTGATTTAGATGAAGCTTTGTAAATAGATGGTAGACATTAAATGTGCGGTGCTGTAAAATTTCAAAAGTGTATATCGAGGTATAAAGTACCTCCTTGACCTCACTGCTTTCTGCATCAGTGAGGTCAAGAGACTTCCAGGTGAAACAATATTTTCTCTTGCTTGAATATTTAAGTCATTTAGGAGTTTGCAACTATAAAAATTATCCAAATTATAAAAGTGTGAGAATTAATCAGAAATATGGGAATACCTCTGGATCGCCATGAATTGAGGGAAACAACAAAACCTGAGGTTTTTGACTGAAAAATTCACCATATAAATATTGGAACAATTTGACTTCATAAGGGTCAATATCTGCGAGTTTGATTCTTTTTTCCCGCTGGATAAAACAAGAGCGGTCTAGGAACATTTTATATCTTCCATCTTATTTCTGTTTCACATTCGATTGATTTTTACAGAAATACGCTCTGAAATTATTTACCAACAAGCAACAGGAAATTTTTGTTCGTCTTAAAGTCCCCGGACTATTATTATTGTACAAAAATCGTATAATCGTCTTTGCACGAACATCATGTTCTCAAACTCAATAAGTACCAGTCACATTAATTTAACTACTTTCTCGCTCGTTAATTCTAACATTCTTCATAACCTTACGAATGAAAAAATAATTGAAAACAAACAATCAAGTGTGTATATGAACAGGCAGTGATTCACATCATGACAAGCTTTCGCGGAAACAATAAAATTTGTAAAATATAAATCATGATACTATTTCGCAAAAATGGTGGAGCTACTCTTACAGAAATACAGGGTGGCCGTTTGTATGAATATTTGTGAAATGAAATAAAATACGTCCATTTTTTTCATCTTAATATTTTATTGAAACTTAGAAATTATGTATGAAAAATAATATCAGACAAATGTCCGACTCTGGAAGCCGCGCAAACCTGATCCCTCTTGATTACATTTTCCATCACTTTTTGGTAGGTTTCAGGAGGAATATTTTCAATAGCTTCCGTAATATTGTACTTCAGCTGCTCTACAGTGTTTGGTTTGTTAGCATAAACCGTATTTATATTATATATTTTTAATTATTGCAATCTAGTTTATCATCCTTGTTTGGATGTTGCAAGTCGTAACAGAATATCTGTAGTACAAAATAACTGCGTACGATTCATATTTAGTTTAAGAAAATTTGATCATGTTTCGGATCGTTATCCTTTAATAGGTTGGTTAAAGATGACAGATTTAGTTAAATACAACTATCTAACCTTTATACATAAGTTACTTGTCTCTGGAACTCCAACTTATCTACGTGAAAAACTAATTTTTAGGTATAATGTTCATCAACGACATATCCGTAACACATTAGCTTTAACAATGCTACTTCATAGTTCATCTGTTTTTAACAGGTCCTTCTCATATAATGCATGCATATTGTACAATAGCTTAGATTACAGAACAAAAAGCATCCGCTGTATAGTTTTAAAAAGCACTTAAGAGCTCTTCTGGTCAATGGTGATTCTTAAAGGTGGTTTTCTCCAGCATTATATTTTTAAGCTAATTTTTATTTAGTTTGTAATCAGTTACATGGACATTTTCCTCCATTTATTTTCATTATTATTTTCTTTACAGCTGTACTTTTTTACCATCTATGTTCTTATGCAGTTAATGGTTAAGTGTAAGAATAGCTGCCATAGCTAAACTTCGCCATTAGCTGCTCACTAATCTAATTATAGATAATAATATATGAATTATCTGTAATTTGTTTTTTCTAATAAAAGACGGTTTATTATTATTATTATATATATTATTTTGGGTATTAAGCTGCATTATTGCATGACTGTATTATCGGCGACTTTCATGTTCACTAGGCTGTAGATCTTAGGTTAACTGAATTTTGTATGGCCGCAAATGCAAGTTTTTTTAAAGTAGTGCATAATGACGTGCGACTAATACCCAGTTCTTGAGGACAATGTCTGGTAGACGACTCAGGGCGCCCGACCTTGGCAAGTCTTTAACCTCACCTGTTTGTTCAAATTTCCGCACCAACTGACGAATGGTGTCGACACTGGGTGCATTATTTCGTCCAAAATCTTGTCGTAGCTTCCGAATCGTTGCAAAAATCGACTCATTATTTAAGTAAAACGTTTTAACAATCCTGACGCGGTGTGGGATCGTATAGCGGTCCAAGATGAATTGGACCCATGTGCTTTAAACATCTACTACGGCCCCACCTGCGTGTATCAAAAATGGCGCGCAATTTGAATCAGTCAGTTAATTATTGGCCACCCTGTACTTCAAAATCTAGAATAAAAATTATGTTCACATTTTTCATGGATTTTATCTTACAGGGCACCATTTGGGCTGTTCTACCATGCAGCATGGTTCACGCAACCACATCACAAAGAAGGTTTCATCAATTTCATCGACAGTATACTAACAATGAAAGACGTTTGGCTGGTAACGAACTGGCAAGCAATCCAGTGGGTCAGAGATCCTACACCAATATCACGAATGAACAATTACGAACCCTTCCAGTGCAATTATTCGGTAAGTACAATTACTTCCTACATTCTAAGCAATAACGTGAAGCTTTTTTCTCACTTCCCAGTCATATCTGAATGTCAAAACTATTGTTTTTTCAGCTTGCTCTTTTATTTATCCAAACTAATATCCCTCTTTTCTTCCAGTTTTTAGATACTATTTTCTCTTCGTTTCCTTTGGATGCGTTCTCATCAGTTGCTACAACTTTTCTTCATTCTCATAATGGATTCTCATAATCAGGAGGTTTCAAAAATACTGCTTTTTTCACCTGCATATGATATAAGTATATATAAGTATATAACTGATATATTTCTCAAATTTGAAAAACTTATTCCGATACAGTTTAAAGAAGTTATGACATTTTCTGCGTTGGGAGCTGCAGCCGACAGCCATCGTGAGTTGAGGTTCGGTCGTGACGTCATATGACATAAGCTCGCAATATATATTACTTGTATATTGGCATAGACAGGTTTTTTCTTCTTTTTTTATACTCCAACTACCACGAAGGCCTAAGGCCTAAGCACCCATTGGGTACCGTGGGGCTATAGGGGGATACATGGGAAAGGGGGAACGCCACACGGTCTCTAGCGGGGGAACACGTGTGCATGCAACATGCACACATTCTGGCTCCGCCTACGAGATCCGCCGGGTGGTACCTCCGCGTTCGACAGTCAGAGACCGTCTACCACCTACGGGGGAGATATTATAGATATATAATAAATAAAACGGAAGGTTTTCTTCCTAGTGATTGCACCATTCTTTTAAACGTTGACAATAATGGTTCATAGTTAAATATACTATGCGAAACATTTATGTTTTTGCACGAATTAGCATTAATAATCAAGTCATTGACGCATCAGCGGTTCAAAGTTCCTAAAATATGGCCAAAATTAGAAAGATTTACTAATTTTCACGAAAAAAAAATCCATACGATATCCATTTGTCAATAACGAACTTGATATCGATTGTTCAAAAATCTAAATAACGGTTCTAATATGGCCCCATATTTTCAAAAATGTTTTGAGTGCACTCAAAATTAGGTTTCAAGTGTTTTTAAGATCGCTTATAACGCATTAAATATCGATTCTTATAACATTTAAATGACCATTTTATGGTCTGACCAATTTTTTACCCGTTTTTACTGTAAATCGTGAATACGGAGCAGAATAACGTTTGGAAATGGCGCGGAGCGTGCGCGGCGGGCGAATCACTTTGTAGTAGCGATGGTAGCTGGTGTCAAACAAGAATCTTCAGGGCAGCGCAGCCGGCAGTTTTCAAGATCAAAAAGTATTTTCAGTGCTGTACTTCACTTTACTTAAAATATACTGAGTGACAAAAAAAAGGTAAACACCTAGATATGTTTATCCGATTTTAATAATTTTTGGCATATATCCCTTACTAGGAAATTTTCAGCTTGATTCGTCAACTGACTGCAACAATGTGTTGAGGATCCACGATGTTGATCGATGAAGGCTAACGATGCTCTGGCAACATGCGGTCTGGCATTGTCTTGCTGAAAAATCGGGTTTTGGATGGTGCTTAGGTATGGAATAAGATGAGGCTCCACTACTTTCATATTGCCTCTGATGAAAATTAGTGGTGATCTTTTTTTTATATCGAAGCAGCCGCGCAGGCAGAAACCTAAATGCCGCAACATCGCGGCTCCTATGATGATCTCAAAGAAATTTTGTTAATACGATTTTTGAACTGCCTAAGGTTAGTAGAACTGGGAAAAGCTTCCTCTTGTAGAGTGTTCCACAGTCTCGACACTCTCGGGACAAAGGAGCGGTCGTATCGCCCAGTTCTGGATGTACGAAGCTCGGCACGGTTAGGATGGGTCTGTCTGGCAGGCACATCGCGCGGCGGCAGCATGGCAGAGAGCTCCGGGGGTCAAAGCCCGTTGGTGTAGCGGTATAAAAGAGCTAGATCGCCGACAGCCCGCCGGTGCGAAAAAATTCCGAAACTGTCTGTTAGAGAAGAGCCATCGATCAGTCGGACCGCCCTCCTCCGGACAGCATCGAGCATGGATAATGTAGTCGGGGCGGCAGCACCCCAAACGTGTGAGCAATACTCGAGGCTAGGCCTTATCTGGGCCTTGTATAGAGTGAGAAGGTCATGCGGAGAAAAGTACTTCTTAGCCCTAAACAAATAGACTAGCTGTTTCGCAGCAGCTGCAGTTATTGACGAGATGTGTTCGTGCCAGATCAGGTCCTCGGTGATCTGGACTCCGACCAGCCGAAATGAATGGCTGAACCTGACCATTTTATCACTTGTTGTTCATGGTTAAGATAAACCGATATGTAAATAATTCTTGAATTCTAATAAACATACGTAGGTGTTTACAGTATTTTATTGTGTTTCAAAAAAATAAGAAACGTCCTCATTATAGAACGGGTGGGGGGAGGGGGGTGCTTTCAGCATAAATATTGGTTTTTCGATTTATTGGAGCATTTCATTGACCTGATCGTTCATGGGGCTCACTGTTTTGTGAAACATCCCAAAATAATGAGAAACATTGGCGTTTAAGAAAATAATTAAGAATAAATAGTGAGTATAAACTAAACTGCTATTTGTGTTCTAGGATCGGCCCAAACGATGCAACAATCCAAAGGTATGCAACCTATGGCACAAGTCAGGTGTCAGATACATGAGAACGTGCCAACCTTGCCCGGACATCTATCCTTGGACTGGAAACACTGGCATCCGCAGTAGTAAGATTGATAATGACATCGAAGATTAAACTAAATTCAATTTTTTACGATAAGCTATCATAGGTCAAAGCGACATTCACATTATACCAAGAGTCATCGATTTCTATCTCGATCCATCTAGGTGCGAATGTTACTCTTTCTAAGAAAGTATATATATAACGTATACGATGTTTCCATTGAAAATTCCGAATTTTTTGCCTTTAAATACTTTCAATCTCACAACAGATCTACTATAATATTTATAATCGATTCTAGTTTTCTGATCCATACAAAATTGATATGGAGCTCAGAATGGATACGAACAAAACATGTAACATGGATTGAAATTGGTGATTCTATTACTATAATGTTGAGTGTTATAGAATACAAATTTAACCCTTCAGTACATAGTTATAATTCACACAACAATATGTTTTGTTGTGTGAATACAGTCATTGTTTCCCCTCCCATCACTGCCACTGTAAAACCATATATAGAAAATCCTATATCCTATGTATAGAATAATGTTAAAGATAACACGCCTGTAATCATATTATCATAGCTCTTGAATTCTGGTTGGGAACGTGTAAATATATTAAAAATGAAAATATTTGATAGTTTGTCAGAAATGTTTTGCTGAAAATTGACGGTGATCATGCATCTCGATTATTGTTAATATTAACTATATACCGGAAATATAAAGTATTATGTAGTGAAGGGTTGAGGTAACTAAGATAATATTTATGTAAAGTACGATCAGATGTCAAAAACATCGATTTGAGATTGTATCGTTTTGTAAATACGATAATAAATTATTTAAAAAAGTTATTTTCTAAAAAAATTAAGAATAATTGAAATAATTATGTAAGTAAGAACTGCTGCTTTCAGTACAGAGTTTGTTAAACAATTAAAATTCGAAAATTCTGATTTCCAGTTTTTTTAAACTATAGTAAGAACTATAATTAGTTCTAATTTGTTTGATTGTCGTAAAATATATTATTATTTTTTTTAAATTTATGTTCAAGTACAAAGTATGGCTATAAGCAGCTGTTCCAGATACATTGCGTGTTCCTTTCAGATATGATTGTTTATATTTATAAAAAATGCTGGAAATGGAAGAATTCAGTAACTACCGATACTGTAGATATACTTTTATGTACGGTATTGGTACACTGATAGCTTAGTACTTATTCAGTACTGGCGGCAGTTCTATTATTAAGTTGTAATTTTATATATTTTTGGAAAAACTATTTATTAAATTTTTGTGACTATGAATCAGTGAGAAATAAATCATATCCAATTACTGGCTGTTTTATTCACTTATAAAGTTTTTTTTATACTCCAAATACCACGAAGGCCTAAGGCCTCAACACCCATGAGGTACCGAGGGGCTTTTTTTATATCGAAGCAGCCGCGCAGGCAGAAGCCTAAATGCTGGAACACCGCGGCTGCTATGATGATCCCTAAGAAATTTTGTTAATACGATTTTTGAAATGCCTAAGGTTAGTAGAACTGGGAAAAGCTTCCTCTTGTAGATTGTTGTTCCACAATCTCGACACCCTCGGGACAAAGGAGCGGTCGTATCGGCCAGTTCTGGATGTACGAAGTTCGACACGGTTAGGATGGGACGCCAAAGTCAGGCGGGTCTGTCTGGCAGGCACATCGCGCGGCGGCATCATGGAAAAGAGCTCTGAGGAGCAAAGCCCGTTGATGTAGCGGTAGAAAAGAGCTAGATTACCGACGGCCCGCCGATGCGAAAGAGTCCCGAGACTGTCTGTTGGAGAAGAGTATCGATCAGTCGGACCGCCCTCCTCTGTACAGCATCGAGCATGGATAATGTAGTCGGGGCGGCAGCACCCCAAACGTGTGAACAGTACTCGAGGCTAGGCCTTATCTGTACTTCTTAGCCCTAAACAAATAGCTTAGCTTTTTCCCAGCAGCTGCAGCTATTTATCGAGATGTGCTCGTGCCAGATCAGCTCCTTGGTGATCTGAACTCCGACCAGCCGAAATGAATGGCTCTTTGGCAGAACTCGGCCTTCCATCGAAACCGGATGAGCGCTAGGACGCTTTTTGTTCGTCAAAGTACAGTACTGTGTTTTGGAAGCATTGAACTGTCCAAGATCGTTGCGTCCCCAAGCAGTGATAGCCTCCAGGTCTCTTGTCAGAGAGAAAGTCGTCGCTAGTCTTCTTTTTTCCAGCTCATCGGCAGAGATCGGCTTGTCACTCTAAATTCCTGTATGTAGAGTGCTGTCATCAGCGAAGCTGTGGATTGGGTTGATCGTGCAGGAAAGGAGGTCGTTGATATGTAAGAGAAACAGTGTACGAGCCACGACCGATCCCTAGGGAACACCCGAGTTGACGTTGTGGGATGAAAAGGAGAACCCGTCAATTAGGACGGATATCTTGCGGCCAGAGATAAAGTCAGTCACCCATCTGCAATGCTTTTCTGGTAGGCCATAGGATGGAAGTTTGCTTAAGAGGGCAGCGTGCCACAGCTGATCGAACGCTTTCGTGATGTCAAGAGCAACGACATGAGCCTCACTATAAGACTGGATGAGTTTACTCCACAATTGCGTGACGTAAGCTACGAGGTCCCCTGTGGATCGTTGGTGCCGGAAACCATACTACCTGTCGCTAATCAAGCTGTGACGTTCGAGGTAGTCCAGAAGCTCGCGATTTATGCACCTCTCCATCACCTTACTTATAACAGAAAGCTGAGCTATAGGCCTGTAGTTGTAAAGGTCGGTCTTAGATCCTTTTTGGGGGTGGGTTAGACATGAGCAAATTCCAGTTTTCTGGGAAGGTGCCGGATTCATAAGATATCTGGAAGAGACGCGAAAGAACTGGAGCAAGCTCCGCTGCACACCTCTTCAGTACAATGGCAGGGAACCCTTTGAATTGACGGCACTTGGGCGTTGGGGGGGAGGGACGTCCATGGTGGAGTTGGCAGCAAAGACCTTGCCTTGCACTTCCGCCTTGGCCTTTGAGTCGAATACAATAGTTCCATCCTGACATGTAAGTGGTGGAAGGCTACTGTGCGAGAAGTTCTATTCAATCTGCTTGGCCAGCGTCCAGAAAGACCGACTGCCATTGCGCTGCGACATTACCCTGTGCCTAACTTTTACATCGTGCTGGTTTTTGGCATATCTATAAGGAGATACAGGGGAAAGCGGGGACCGCCTACGAGATCCGCCGGGTGGTACCTTGGCGTCCGAAATTCAGAGTCCGTCTACCACCTACGGACAATCACAACATCCATAGCCAAGAGAAAAATTCCTCTTAGGTCGGGATTCGAACCCGCGCAGCGCACGGCGACTGATCAAGGGACCGAAGAGTCTACTACTGCAGCCGCCGCTGCTGCCTAACGTGTGGTTTTGTTTGATGTTTCCTTATTCATTTTTGAAATGGGTCAAGTTAGCAAGTTGAAATTTTTATTATTATATGTATATTATATATTATTTTGGTGAAGAAGTGAGAATCGAAAATTCCAATGTTGCCGGCTCGACGCCATCTTGTACAATTTTTTTCAAATATAGTAGTGGGTCATGTGAAAAGACATGGTTTTATGGCTCGCACGAGGGCCACGCTATACAGTGCTTTTCTTTAATGTCCCCCTCTCCCTTGATTTTTTAAATGGATCAATTCAGAAAATTAAAACTTGAGGTAAAGAAATTGATACGTAAATATCATATTTTGGAGTAAAATTGACAGATGAAAATGACAAGATGGCCGCTGGGCGCCATGTTGGAAAAAAAATTATATGAAAACGGGAGTCTTGTGGCCCATCATTTTGAAGCTCCTGACGAGTACTTTATAATCCTAAAATATAAAGTCAATGCCTTTACCTACTACAAATGGTCAATCCTGGTCCATTGGAAAAAAATAGAAGCAATTTTTATTTATGGTGCGACGCGTAACTTTCACGAGACCGAAAGGATTTTTAATGATCGTTTCCCGAATCGTCCTATCTGTAGAAAATATTTATGGGAACTTGAATCTAAATTTACAGCTACTGGTAACATTGTTTTTATTTCCATTGAAAAAATCTAGGATGACCGGCGAGAAATCTCAATTTCACCCAAATGTCTGGGGTTTTTGAACCGTTTGCCGTCGTCGGAAGTTTAGAAGATGGCCGCCTTACATCATATCATAATCAAAACTCTATTTATAATCGGGCTCTGATAGAAACTGTAGACGCTTAGGCAAGAATTAACTGCCTTTCGTTGCCCAAATATATGTGTAATTATGCTGCACAATCCGTTACAATAGATTGCACCACGTCTCTTTCAAAAAAAATCTATTAGATGGAACAGTTAAGCATCTTGTGAAGAGATCCCGTTATATGTTATCAGAATTAAAGAACTAGATCACTGTTACGTGATGAGTCTATAAACGGTACATTACAAATTTTGTGAGAAAAACGTCAGACGTCTGTCCGTGACTTTTCTATTGCGTCATAGAGATTGTTTGAATGAACGGTATGACCAGAAAGTCATGTAACTCATCAATAGTTTTTTGTACATATGCACTCACTTAGATAACAATCTGCTATTGTATATGCAATGACTGGTAGAGTTTATGGTACAACGACGAAGAGCTATGTGTGAAGTTTTACTGGGGAAAACAACACTCTGGGAATCAAGCAGTTAACTTTTGCTCTCATACTTGGGTTACAAATTACTGATGAAAGCAAATCGGCATCCTTATTATGTAACTTGAAAGTGACATTATATCGATTTTTATGACATGATGTAGGTTCTTTTTTAACATAATGTAGGATTTCCTACAAAATGTAACCTTTGCACTAGCTGATACTCACTTCCTGCGCCTACATAGTGCACAGCTTGACATTATACCGATCTTTTTATATTATACAGGGTGTCCAAACTGTGCGAGGACGGAGTATTTCTCGTGAACAAAAAGTTTTCACAGAAAACTATGGATTACTATACAGGGTGTTCCTTAATGATATGCGAATATTTAAGGGTGTGAATCTACATAAAAACTAATGTTAGTTTGCTTTATAAACTATGGTCCAAAAATGTTTTCTTACAAAAACTCGGGGTGTTAAAGTTTGACGAAAAAAATGGAAATTAATTAATATTTTCAGAACCGCTTCAGATATTTCCCTGATATTTAGTAAGTAGTGAAAGTTAAGGTTGCATATTTTTCAATGCAAAAATATTTTTAGCTTTAACAGTGGCATGCGTACGGGTATTGACTTCGATATTTTTTAAGGAAAAAATGGTACGCCAATGATTTTATGCCAAATAAAAATTATTTTTGAATTTTTGAAATGTGTTCCTGCGATGCGCCATTTTTGAGTAAAAAAATAAAAACCGTTCTATTGTCCGAGAAAATTAATGTAATACCTAATTGAAGAATGCAATTTAGCAATAAATATCAAGTTGCTCTGGAATATGTCGCTGACTTTTGGCATCTGACAAGTCTCTGTTATTCAAATCTTTTCGCTGTGACATCTTTTTCATTATTTAGTTTTTACAATCTTGTTAATAATGGTGGATTATTTAAATGCTGAAATGGCGGATATGCATTACGTATATGTCCTTGCCGACGGTAATAGTGAGCAAGCCAGACGGATTTATCACCAGAGATATCCCGATCGTGCTTTGTCAGATAGTCGAACCTTTTCTAATATTCATCGCCGTCTTGTTGAAACTGGTTCTGTCCGAAAAGGAACATCTGAAGATAGACCTCTAAATGTGAGAACACCTGAAATTGAGGAAGCAGTGCTGCACGAAGTCGATCCTGAAACGAGTACGAGGAAGATCGCTAGACACTTAAATATTTGCCATCAAATTGTTTGGAGAATTTTAGTGGATTTATCCTTACCATATTTTAAGAGTACATGCATTACTTTCCATTGATTTTCCAAGGCGTGTGACCTTTTGTCAAAGGTATCTTCAAAAAATTACACAAAATCCGCACTTTGAATCAATGATTTTTCTCGAAATGCCATTCAGAATTTCAACAATAATCATTTGTGGACAGAAGAAAATCCCTATGCCGTAACCAAAACCCATTTCCAACACCAATTTTTGGTTAACGTATAGGCAGGAATTATTGGCAACCACTTTATTGGCCCATTCTTCGTGCCGGGACGACTCGACGGACAGACTTACCTTAATTTTCTTTAACAACAGTTGCCTTTGCTGCTTGATGATGTTCCGTCAGTAATAAGAAACAATATGTGGTACATGCATGATGGTGCACCAGCGCATTTCAGTGTAGCGTTTCGTAATTATTTACAAACTGCTTATCCAAATCGTTGGATTGGCCG